ACTGTTAGCATACTTCATTCTGCTCAACCTCCTTTAATTCCGTATTGCATCACTATCGTTAGCAAATCTATTACTACCCSACTGTATTACCTCGTCCTCAAAGTCCGCTAAACCACACACATCGACAGCCCTCATCAATTCTGATTCCAAATTGTTCAAGGCGGTGGTGATGGACATTAAGCAGTCCTCGCTCAACGGCTGAATACAAACACACAGAAAAATGAGACAAAACTACTAAAAGAAAAAATGAATAATAAAATGCACAAACAGATGAAAAAATGAACAAATCAGTAAACAAGAACGACATAAGCAAYGGAATGAAAGCTTACTGGTTCCATGGATTGTTGCTTCTCGCTTAAAAACCATAAAACCTCTTGAGTGAAGGCTTTTGCATTAGATAGGAAATCCATTGCACGGGTTCGATTGATATTCTACACAAAAGAATACATTGTTAATAATAAGAAAATAGTTTTGCTGTCAGGGAGGGTTGGGTATAGGTGCTATTCTTACCTCCTGTGATTTAGTGTCCGGCAGAAGACTTTCGATACTTTTGGCCCAGTCCGCTAGATCTTTTTCGACAGCTGGGTTCTTCTCGCTTGCTATTTCAATACTGCAATCAGGTAAAAGTACAGTTGGTTATGGTGATAGGGTTTAGCCAATCACAACACTAGAAACTCCAAGTTCCATTAGTCAATCAGACGATTTGCCAGTACATTTCCGACCAATCAAATCTTGTGTTAAATCAACTAAATGTAAAACAGTCCTCCCCCAGAGGGGAGMTTTTGTTACCTGTGAACTAGAGGAAGAATGGCTATTGCTAACGATTTTAGTGTTTCACTCTCAAAGTCACTTGTAAGAGCGTTTTTCTCTTGCTGGAGATCTGTCCATAGCTTTARAGTATTTTCAAAATCCTGAAACAAAAACTAGTTAGACTTTCATGCCTAAACTATTACATGCACACGCATGAAGGAAGGTTAGAATATTTTGTTTAAAATGGGAGGGGAATCTAACACGAAGAATTCAGTCTAATTTTAAAAYCATTTAGTGAATAAAAAAKKTGGCATTATTAGGAATGATTTAGTYCAACTAAAGATTRATAAGAGGYTAAATGAAGYTTACCCGATCTCTAACCAACATTTGTGCTCTGTTCTTATGTACAATCTTGATGTAACCAGGATTTTGCATCCACGCTTCACCGTCCACCTGGACTGGAATGGGTTCTCCCGTTATTGTGATTTTCACAACGCGACACTACAAGAGAACATTCAATATTTCAATACATACAATATTAAAAAATGGTAGTGTACTCCCCTCCCCTCYGGTCCCTCAGTTGTCCTGGGTTTCCGAATTAAACAAAGACAATTTGCTGTGCCGCAGCGAAATATTATACAGCAAAGAATGATGAGAGATTTAGTGGTCGTCCTATTTCTGCTAAAATACAATAGACTCTACAACCTATTTTGTTTTTTTTTCTTTGTAAAACTGAAGTGAGAAAAAACGACAACACAGAAACGGCTTTACAGTGGACATAGAAAAGTAGGAGGATCTCATACATGCTTTGTTATAGAAAAGGACATCGATTGACATTCCCTATTGATTTTCCCGTTAAAATATCAACAATACCTGTGCTATACGATGGTGCTGCATCCCTCCAAACACTTTAGACATGCCCTGACAGAGAAAATATGCATTTTAGGAACATAGTTATTACAAGTTTAGGAAAAAATCGCCCTTGTATTGTAAAGTTTATTTGCATACTCTGTCATCCATTTGTATGGACCTCGCGTCGCTCTTATCGTGCGGTCAAGACCTCGGTCTAATATTTCTGASTGAGTTTTTTTACTCACCATTTGTTGAGCGCCTAAGACAGCAATGACTTCTAGCATAGAATCGTCGAATGACGGYTGAGTAAAACCCTGGAAGAAACGATGATTGTCATCACTGCTGTCATTGTCATCACTATCATTTAATGATCATTATCATAATAAATGTACTTACATCGTCTCGTGCACCTCCCCAGAAGTTAGCACCTCCCATATAACTAGAAAGTGAACAAGAATGTTATGAAAGGTTCTCCATTGATTAGACAGATTTAGTCATTGTACCTACCTCGTTATGTTTAGTACCACGATGCCTTGCAAACTCGGTAGCGAAATTCGGTGACCGTCACACTAGAAGGAATAGATATGGAATGAAAAAAAAAAAAAAACAGCCGCAAAGGCACAACTGAACAACACAACATTAACTAAAATAATGAGATTATACAAACCTCAAATTATACAAATTATACAAACCTCAAGTTTGACACGCTGGTCTAAGTTCTTGTAAGTCCTTTGGACGAACTCCTTGCCACCGAGAAATCCATACCAAATCATGTTCTTTTTTCGACTTCTGAACAATTGATTGAAAACAAAGCAGTGTTAAGCGTTTATACTATAAATATCCTTCAAGACATGTATTGGAGAAGGATTGGGTAAACCCTCAATCCTATCCCCTCCCCTACGCTGTAAATACTTAGAACGATACTTCAACTACGTACAGGGATACCAACCTATATTTTTCAGGGTGTTCTTCTCGTCGATTATGAAATTCAAGACTGATTTTGGCGTCCAAACCGATACCAAAGTAGTTATTCATCATACACCTTTCGCTGTACCCGTCACTAAAATATTATACAAATAATGTATTAGGCTGAATAGTATGAAACACCATGTCATCGCACGGATTTATCATTATAGACCTAACCCGTTTTTGTGGAAACATTTATTGCTGTATTTCTCTGATACGCCAAGTAAAAGTATATGAATAAAACTACAAATACGCTGCGAAAGTCGTCAGAAAATCAATGGATGCTGAGTGGGGGACTTTCTTCCAAAACCAAACACCCCCCGGTTCCATCTCAACTGTGAAAATCCCCTAGCACATGGTAGATTTCTTTTCACAAACAATGGAAAATATAAGTCCAGTGAGCAATCCTTGGCAGTCTACTCTTTTACCGGGCTTCCTGTTCCTCCCAAAGCTGGGAAGGAGACTGCGAAGGAAACTAAGTTAGTAACAGTGAAATATTTACTTACACATCCGATATAGTGTTCATCATGGGTGTTGCCGGAGCACACAGWGCATCAGCATTCAACAAYAAAGCCTTYCCAATCATCATGCCAACTACACTCTCTTTTGGTCTATCCTTWAGAAACGCTTTGGATATAATACAAGTATTGAATTGTACRGTGGGTTTACTGCTTTGCTTTGTGAGCAGGTCTTCAAGAGATGGTTCGTACTGATAGGGATACGAGCTGCCGCGACTTAAGAATCGTGCATCACTTGACTTRGGAAGGGTCGCTGACAGTATGTTGGATACTGCTTGAAGGTTTACGCTGGTCGTGCTAGACGGCTCGATGGGRTTCCCTTCGTTGTCTGTAGCGGGTTCTTCTGAAATATTAAATTTATCAGGGTAAGTTAGTTTCCGTATCCTTTTCCTCTTATATTATGGTGTTATATCATTATCATCATAACCATCATCATCATTAACTATATTATTATTATCTACAAAATAGCAAACAAAGGAAATGATAAAACAATAAAATCATGGAAAACTAAATTGTGTGAGTTCCTTTGTTTTCTATTGTCTAAATAAAACTATCTACGCTCTTTGGAGCTCTTTGCTTGGTATGTATGTTTTCACGCTTTTGCGTTTGTACTCAATCAGCAACTATTGTATTGCAAAAATGACATTAATAGATACAGTATAAAACAACAACCAAAACAATTGTCCTTATTCACGAGGTGTCCGTCATACTGGGGTGTCAATAAAGCAAAACCTCGATCATCTGGTAAACAGATAAATCAACTGGTATATAGAGCAGTCTGATTGTAATTCAAGTACCTTCCTCTAATAGGCCATGTACAGCGTTTTCAGGCACCGATTCCAGCATATTGTCATTGGTTGACATGGTTACAACATCCCCCGCTGCTGTTACCATGGCTTCGGCTAGTGATGAAGTAGAGTCACATGTCTGAGCATTCTGTTTGTCCACTTCTGTAAACGAAAACATAAAACCATTAAACACTCTGACGGGCCAGCCATGTGGGATCTAATCATAGCAAAATATTTCATTTACAGCTGCWCATGCTCATATGGAAGAGAACCTGACCTGTCTCAGTGTGCTCTATGATCTGCTTAATAGCCTTCTTAAGGCTGTTGGCACGTGACATTAAGGCATCTTTAGGTACAAACACTTTCTGATTCTTTCCATTRCTATTCATTTGATTATTCTCTGGCGGTGAGTCAGGGGGGAGCAACTCTTTAGGCGGCGTCGAYGCGGCTTCTGATTCAATACTTAGAGTCTTTAAGAGAAGGTTCAGCTTGTCGTTTAACACTTCACACTGAAAGAGAACGAACAAACTAAGTAAATCTATGCTACTTAATATAGCCCAATTGCAATACAAAATTTCATTACTGAGTGAACCCCCCTCCTTCCTTTCCCCCTTAATTTTTTTTGGCAAGAACTAAACATTGTCAAATTAATTTGCAAATGAAGTATGCTGATTGATCTTCCAAGATGAGTTTATAATAGACCAATCTATTGCATAAATCCCATGTCATTAAAATGTTTTCTTTACCTTTTGTGAAAGTGAGCCTGGGTCGTTAGCCTCCTCTGGATCAGAAGTAGCTGAGACAGCACCAACATTGGACACAAAGTCTCTCACGATTTCACACAAAACTCTACAGTTTACAAAAATACCGAACCATTAAGATAGATAAATGTACCAGAATCAACATATAGATGTAAACTATAAATCTTTTTAAAACATTTTTTGCACAAAAAACGCCTAATTGTTTTATAATGAAATGATATTTTTGACATACTTTGCTGAGGAGATCACTGTTTGGTGCTGGCTAGAGTATAGGATACGTGTCAGGTGGGTGGCAACATTGTTTTGAAAGATGTCTATTCTGTCAAACTCTGGTTGATATGGTAACTGCAAAAATGAATGAGTGAATTGATAAATGAATTCATAAACTGTGAATTAATAACTTATTGAATATAGAATTCAGCATGTATAATACTCAATTTCCTGAAGAAGGCTGAAAAACATTAATTAAACAGAGTAATAAAGTTACAACTTGTAGGCATGGTGTTAAATTATTCTACTATATTTATACATGTAGATGCAAGTTAACAACGAAGTGTCACATGACCAAGGAATAATATAATTCACGACTTTCCATACTCAGGTTTATCGACTACGAACAAAGCACTGAACCAAGACGTCAAGGTACACTGAGCGCAGATCTTTTCTTTCATGCTCATTGTACCTTGACGCCTTGGTCCAATGGTTTGTTCATGGTCACTGAACCAGTGCATGGAAAGTTGTGAAGTGGACTTACAGGAGCATCTAAGGTTTCTGTTGAGGAAGATCTCGATGGTGGTAGAGTTGGGTTACATTCCTGTGTCATAATACTCCACCTAGAAACAAACCCTTCATAATCACTAAATCATCATCATTATTACATCAGATAAGAATAAAGATTTACCTGTCAAGCATCAGAGCTTTGGCTCTTTCTAGATGTTGTAAGAACTGTGGAAGGGAATTATCATCAGCAAACGAAGTTCCCCAACCAAGAACTCTTGATAAATCATTTCCTGTCCCCAGAGGAAGAACACCTATCTGAACCTACAAGACACAATTGATTGTCAACAATGTGATTATCCTGCCACTGACATTTTCTTATGAGAACATTGACCAACCTTATTTGTAAGATTAGTATTGTCAACTTCTTTCATCACCCAGCCAATTGAACCATCACCACCACAAACAAGAATACGAAATCGGTTGAATTGTTTAAATATTTGAATCCTGCAATAAAACACATGTATATACTTACTTAATATGGGCAACAAACAGAAAGCTTTGGGTTATTTGGAAAATGGTTTGTAAAATACACAAACAATGTAGGGAGAAAAAGAATAAAACAAGCCACTATGTGTAGGTATATAGATTAGAATATCACTATTTTAAAGTGAATGAATTAAAGATTATTAGGAGCCAGTTTGTGGACTACACAGCTATTGATAATCATAGCATTTTTTGTTCCATTGAAAAGTTCAACATCTCATCAATGAACATACCCCTGYTGMGGTCCACCAACTCCAAGATCAAAAACTTGGATTGGATTTAAWAGCTGTTTGAACTTTCTAATAAACTTTACTCCCTACAAAAATCCAAAACAAAAAGTATTTCAATTTACCAAATGAAACACATAAAAATAAAATATATAGAGATAATTATAAGTACCTGATTGTCTCCGCTCTTGGAGTTAACAAAAACCAGTAAAGGACTCAAGCCTGAATGTTTGAATTTCTGAAAAAAGGACATTGAAAATTCATTCTCTTTATTTACTTCMTCTTAACCGTGTTTTATTGTTATGGTCCAAGGTGTGGGCAGTATGCTTGTTATTTTGCTGAACCAMYRTGGAGACTTTCCTCAAKAATGGTACTTTTAGTWAGATTTATCTRATGGTCAACATTGAGGGCACATTTTATAATGAAAAGTGTTATTGAAACCACAAGAATTTTTTGAAGGATCTTCTGCTTTACCAGCATTTGGCAGCTGTTGTTCCTCAAATATAAAAAAACTTGATTCTTCAGAGTACTCTTTCYTATCCTTATTAATYTGGMAAAGAGTCTTGTACCATTACCTCCAGTCTGCCAGGTCCCATTGGTCCTTCCAGGCAAAGAGGAGACAGAATTGATAGACAATTTTCACCAAAAGTACACTTTCTTGATAATGACGGCTTGCAAGTTGTATGAACCTATCCATTAGCAAAATATGATTAATTAATGGACACTTCAAAGCCAACACTATTTATTTATCATAAGGTGTTATTTAATATTATGTTATCATGTTAAAAATGCTAACCCACAGGAAGCCCAAGCTAGTTGTGGGCTACCTGTGTTCTGACTTACAGTAGCGTTACACCACAAGCATCTAAAATCTTGTAAACGTCTTTTGCTTCCACACTGTCGCTCACAAACATTACATCGTGATCCTGGGACCAAATTTCCTTCTAACCACTGATGGGGCATTGATGACTAAAAATAAAATACAAATAATTATTACTTATTGATGATTTAATTCTTACAGAGGACCTAAAAAACTTACAGGGTCAGTTTCATCAAATTCTAATGCTTCCCGTCGAAGTGACTGTATTGTTGTCCATTTGCAATTATTAGGAGCTTTAGCTGCACACCTTCTGTGAACTTTAAATCTACAAACTAAAACCGACACAAAGAACTTCAGAGAGTTACCTTACGTTCAACATACACATTTTTTTTACAAAGTAAACTCTAACATAGTTGTAATTGCATAGCCCATGAAAATTCATTTAAGGCTTGGCTTCACATTTTATTCAGATAGACTTGTTTATGACACGATGTTCATAGCTAAAGGCTGAATAATAGGTTGCTGTACCATAAATACAAGTTACCTATGGTCTACTTATTTTGCTTTGAGGAATTAAATAATAATTTTTGTAAGGGGTCCATATTTTAACTAACAGTAAAATCAATGTATGTACATYGATAACTCTTAAATTATTATCAAGCAACTTCTGTAAACCTTCTATCTATCACTTATTCATGTAATATTATGTAATTCATGTAATATTAGCCAAGTGTGCAAATAAAATAAGAAAAGGTAAATAAAATAATGTCKCTTCAGTAGAAAATAAAACACCTGTACATTAATTATACTTGCATTTTCTATTTTTGGACATAAATTATCTTCATTACTACCGTAGAATATTCATCAATAATAATCAATTATTCATATAACATCTGGTTTGCTTTTTTGGAAAAACAGAAAATAAATTCAATTCAAATTTAAATCTTTGTACAAACTTCTTTTCAAGTAAATCTTAATCCATATTGAAAACGTATTATCAAAGTATTAATCGTTAATGCTACATAGTTTATAGGCAGTATGTTATTATGTTACTTAAATCCTGTGAATAGAGAACTTTTGTTTCTAAGAATTCAGCTGCAGTGAAGTGAAAACACAATGAACTAAATGCTTCCGGGTAGTTTGAATYGAGTGGAAATGTTTGTTTTCAATTGTGTTTTTTATCAAAAACAAACCATGATTAGCCAAGTTTTGAGCATCTAGACCCAGCACTGTTTATTCTACACTAACCTTCACATGATAATCCTTTTGATGTGACACCAGAGAGGATATCTTTACATACATTGCAGAATGTTGGCCGTGTATGMGTACAGGAATACCAATTATGCGTTCCTGATAGTTGATCTAGTATATCTGATTGCTAATAAAGAATAAAATATAATAATGATAAGAAAATAGGAATTACTTGAATCTATTTCCTTTTAACTGGAGTGGTTGAAAACTACAGAAAAAAAGTAAGTTATAATAAAAATTATGGGAAATAGTAGTTAATTAGAGAGCTTCATCGGTGTTTCTAAAGAGTTGTGAAATATGATTTACTTTGAAATATTGTGTGAACAGTCAGTAAGTTATTTAGCACTTTTTACAATRTTAAAAATGCATAACAATCCTTTTTTTACATTTTTGAGCTTTACAGGAAAAAAYAGTGTGCAACACATATTCAAGGACCCAAGGTTACAAATTCTGTCAAAAAGATATCAACTAGATATAAATATAAGTTGATAAAAAGAATGAAAAAATAGACAGACAGAAGAGATTGATAGATAGGCAKACATCTAGATATGCAAGAACAGATAAGCATGCCTTGGAAGTGTTCATAATCAGCTACAAGGCAACCCACTGTAGTTYACATCCAGACAACTTAGACTGTCTGTTATAAACAACTTCTCCGTGTCCTTACCAGATGGCTCTGTTTTTATGGTTCAGGGGGGCTAGGGCTGGACTCTCAAAGCAGAGAAAAGYAGAAATCTTTTTTCTTTCCTTTGATTTATTACTTACTGATGTTCTCTGWGAACAAAGTGCCCTAAGACAACCAAACCATTCCTCCATTTCTCTTCTAGTTTCCGCTGACAGCACTAAGCTTCGATAYGGAGTGATTAACTGAAACCAAATAGAACAACAATAATCTGTGAAATTATAACTAGGAATTTATAGGTGGAAGAATAAAGCAAAATAGCTATTAATAGCTGTGTCAACGTTTAAAGTAAAATGATAACAGAAACTATCATCTACTTTAAAAAGTAACTGATAAATTCACAGTGTGAAACATTACTCCAGCGACAAATACAAATTAATATAAACCTGTTGTTCACCAGACAGAATATTCTTACTATGTCTGKTTTTTACATCGAAGCAGATAACGCAGCAATAAAAACATTAAGGTTTTTCTTTTCTYTYGCAACAGCTTTCAAAACRTTTTCCTGAACAATATTATACTGTGCTCTTTCGCTTTTCTTCTCTCAGCTTTGCCATTACAAATTTGATAAAAGAAAGCACTAAAGATGACTAATATTTCTCTGCATTATAAGCTGTATTTTTTTCAATTTGCCTTGGGTCTCTRGCCTCATTTTTCAATGTTCACTAAATGCTTCTATATACAATGTCACCAGACATCATATCCATGAAAGATTATTGTGTATTTTTTAATTATCCTATTGCTTTACATCATAATGCATGAAAGACCRTTCAATAACACATGAAGACCTTTGCCTATATCATTTTCATCACTTGAGAAGTCGTGGCGTGAAAACAATATTGCACAGAGACACAGAACTACCAAACGTAAATGGCTATACTCTTTCATTCTGCTGTTTAAAGCATGGTACAATAAATGAATGAGCAAATCACTTTTGTATGGTATAAATTTTCTCTTACTCTGACAGCAGTTAATGTACCAAAATGSTTTCTTTACAAAGAAGCAAAAGGCCAAGATGTTTCATCTCTCAATGACATGCAGCAGAATACATCCATTCAATTAAAACACATATTTACACATCAGAATAATGAATCATTTGTGCCAGATTCAAGATGATGAAAGCCTTTTTGACTGTTCAACCCAATCAACTGACTTACATGTACAGTAAGATCATTAGCAACAACAGGGTTCTTGATCAACAGAGTTGTTTTGAAGGTTATTGAATGGCCTTTGCTGGATACCCAATCATCATATCACCATCTGGTCATGTCCATTTATCTCACAATCTAACCAAAAACCGCAACAAAAGTGGCTACCAAATCCCAGCTTCTAGAGTAGCTTAGCTTATGGTAACTTCTTTTAGTAATTAATGAAACTCAGATAAAACTGTGATAAAACAATTTGGGTTTTAAGTGTCTTTCTTGATGTAATGTTTAAGTTTATTGAAACTATAATTTTTTAATATTATCATGCATAATAAAGTATAATATCAAGGAGTGTACTACAGAAATCGATTATGCTTGAGCTATACCAATACTTATATGACATTATCATCATGCTCTTTACATTAAAGTTTAATAGTTTATGATACCAAAAAAGAACATAGAATAAAGCCTTTTTTAAATGCTTGATATTAGTACAGTTTTTAAGTAAATAATGATTCTAATTTTTACACGAACCCAAAAATGATGAGGATCAAGTAAAGACCTTATTGACATTTCTTATCAATAATACTCCAATGAAATGATAACCATTAGCAATAATATTTACAGTGCAAGTATGATTTCTAATGACGATAAGAACATTCACAAGTGCTGTTGAATGATTAATGCATTCTCACAACACATACTTTGTCAGCTATCACTTTCAACAAAACAAAGCAGTTTTCAGCTATTGTCAAATTGGCCCAATAGTTATTGTTAGCAAAGAATGTGCACTATAAAAAGTCTATAAAATTATTGTTCTGGTATAGAATATATTAATAATTTCTAAATGATCTTTTTATTCATAATTTAATGGTTTTTCGATTCCAACATCTTTGTTTATTATTTCCTATACTAATGTATAATTTATGCTGTTTATGATCTAGTAATATTTTAAGATAGTTCATACAATTTTCAAGAATGACACTCAAAACAGTACTTCAAATTCAAGTCAAGAAAATTTATTTGAATATGCATTCTTTAAAGATGGTCAACTTAAAAAAAAATAGCCAAGCAGTAAGATTATAGCACATGCATTAGGATGTTCCCTGAAATCTTCTTTTCTAAATTTAAATTTGCAAAAAAATCATCTCCGTTAGCTTATTATTATGAAGCTAATTCATTCAGATAATAATTATATAGCGACCGTTTTAACAGCACTGAGTCAACATATACACCAGTTAATAGCCTCTGTGGACAACCAGGTGAGGAAATGGCTAATACTATGCAAAATTTCAAGTCCTCCTGAGTTAATACGTCTTTAACAATCTAGGAAACACTTACAAAAAGAGTTTTAACTAGGGTTCAAATAATTTACTTTTTAACAAAGAAAAACAATAGTAAATTAATTCCTAGTTATGGATGAGGAATCTCTTTCAAATTCTTTGAAGAAAATACCAATTGTTTACAATATTACTTTCAAAGAGAGCACATTCAAACATTATTTCAATTTTCATATATAAGCACAGAACAAATCTTCACTGATAAAGTCTATTTTAATACAAAAATGAAAAGGATAAGACCTTGTTTGAGAATTATGTCCAAAAAAGTCAAAAAGCCTAATTTTGAGGCTACATTAACATACAGTACCCAGACTGAATTAAAATGCAACTTTATAAGAACAGTACRATAGACATCTGCTTACACCTGTTCTAATGGAGTCAATTTTTTGCATGCGCATAACATGATTTTACATTGTCTTGAGTATATGAATATTGCTAATAAATTGTTACATAATGAATCAAACAATATGAATGTTTCAATAATGTACAATGTAAGCCTGTGCATATATCTTATGGGATTCGTAGATAGGCAAAGAACGTTTCAATACTTACAGTAAAACTGTTATTGACATTTCTTATGCTGCTCTCAGCAATGCTGAAGTCTTGAAGGTCAATTTCATTAAAAATAGTATTTTGCTAAAAGAGAGGAAAAAAAGAACAGTCAAATCATCAAGATGACATATTTCAAAAGAGTATACTTTGCATTATGATAAGAATGTGATAATTAAATTTCAAGTGAGTAAATATATGGTAGTAAAGTGAGTTCCCATCAAGAGATAACAAAATAAAAATAAAATAAACAAAAACAAACAAAAACAAAACAAAATGCAAAATTGAAAACTCTAGTTTAGGGAAAATTTAGGTTTGGGAAAGTAACTGATAATATTTTTTATATCTTATTTTAATGTGCATCCTAATACTGAACAAATTGTGAGCATAAAATTAAGAAACTAAGAAGAAATTTTTATCTCTATCTGACCAGTAATCACCTGTGTTAATAAATTTGAATAGTTTTTAGTCTTTCAAGTGTTAATTGTTTTTTTTAGACAATGTAGACTAGGGAAGTCACAATACTTAGATAATGATATTAGCAATATGACTCATAATTATCAAGACAGATAGGCAACTAAAGCTTATCACATAACAACAATCATGAATCCACCCATCTCTTACACCTGACATTATTCTCTTCTTCACTAAAAACATGAAAATAACTAGACAACAATAATGGTTGTAAGAGAGATGGGTGGATGACTGAATGAAGAGGAAGATGGGTAAAGAAAATAAATGAACRAATGAAATGTGAATGAAAAGAATAGTATACAGGATGGATTACTTCAATGAATAGACAAATAAATTAGTAAATGAATAAAAGAATGGAAAGAAGGATAAAGCAATAGATAGGAGAAATGAATGAAGAAATGGATAAAGATACAAATACCAAGATGGATGGAAGAACTTATGAATGAATAATAGAATGGATAGAGTGATATGTAAATAAATGGATAAGTAATTTCTTGGAAGAATAAATGGAAATATGAATAGATRAATATATGCATTATTGAAAAGACACATTGATATTAATGATAAAAGAAGGATCAAGAAGCAGAGAATCTACATGGATCAACAGACAAAGGTATTAATAATAGATAACAATTTTGAAACTGCAACAAATAAATGAATAAAGAAATAATAGAAAAGAGGAAGAAAGAAAGGGAAAGAATAAAGAAAATGGAAAGCCATAAGAATAGAAAAAATGAATGAAACAAGGAAAGACGTTTCACATGAAATACATTTGAAAATRATTAAGTTTAAAAGGAATGCTATGGATTAACATTAGTACAAATGTATAAGATTATACATAGTGTATTATTGTCAGCTTTGTTGTGGCTAAAATGTTTCAATTTTAATTGTTCAGTTTCACACTGTAAATTGAATCTTTAAATTATTCATTATTTCATTGGTTATTAACAAAGTTGTGAATATACTAGATCATTGATCGATCAACTGCTTTGCAATATTTAGCTTAATAATATTTAAGAATATTTCTTAATAATATTGAAATATTATGAAGTCATGCTATTGTTTTTGTTTGATCTACAAAGAAGTTTTATCAGATGAAATCAATACTATAAACAATATGACATCCAAACAAACTCATAATTCAAATGTTAAATTCATGACACCAAAAGGTTATTAAAAATGGACAAGCATATGATTTTTTTTTAAGAGTGTAGATTTTAACTGGATGTTAATGGCAATAGCCATTAGCAATCTACAGTAAATTTTAACAAGGACATAATTTATTTATACTGATTGGCATTAAAAGATACTGTAGACAATAAATTCTTGTAAAGAAACATGATTGGATTTAAAATCACTTCAAAAAWTGATGTTTTTAGCTCCACTGAATCATCCTWAAGATCAGTAAAACTGCTTTGAGCAAGGTGAGCAAATACAATAATGGAATTCCTRTGTGAASTTTGCTAAAATCACAATTTGCACTTCTTCRGATRTTTTGTGTAAATTCRACTCATAGGAAAATTGCAACAGTTCTGTTAAAAAAGCTTTCCAAAAATTCCACATYATTACAAAGAAAACACAAATTCTAGTCTATATTATTCATTACATCAATTTATTCTTGGATAACAGGCATTTATTATTTTGTATTAGCTGAATAAAAAAAACCCATGCATTTATCAAGCGATACTGGCAATAAGCTTGATGTAAATATTAACTGCATCTTTGTCTATTGTTTACTTCAGTGTATGATGATAGATTGCATTTTAAATAAAAACTCTGTAACACCTAGAGCATCCACCCCCTACTGTAGTAATTTAAACTAACAGTGCTGCTTATTTATTAGATTGATCTACTAGGTACATAAATGATTTAAATGATAAAGTTGGTATTATAAATAGCTTTGACAAATTCTGATTAAAAAAAACATTACTCAACAACACTTGACAAAAAATCCTTTTYGTGGYTATATGTTACAAAAAGCTCTTAAAATGAAAGAAAACAATATTTTCTTCATTACATTGCTATATTTAATTATAAACAGCTGCACTATGTGACTGTAATTCAAAGAAATTCAGTAACAATCAAAGTTGACACCAGGGATTTCCAATTTTGATCAAGCAAAATAATAAAAGCATGTACAACAAGTTGATTGAGTTGCCGCAATCAAAATTGACAATAATGGAGATATGTAGTTCACATCTAATGCACAGGACTGGTGGAAACAGTAGTTTTTGTGAGGTATGCAAGACAGGGAATTAGATTGGTTGGAAATTTGAAATGTTGYTCATTCTAAATTCTGTATCTGGTAGCATATGATATGAGACAGATGGTACAGTTTATGTCATTACCAAGTCTCTAGGGTAATACCTCAAGCAGATAAGCAGAAACAAAATTAATTACATACAACCAAACCTTTGATATAACTGCACAGCTCTGTTACTACTGCTGCTCCAGGCAAGTTATTCAAATATTGATTTCTCGATGGGATATCTCAAAATTCTCCAAGAAATAATAAAAAACACAACAGCGTCCCTGCAACTTATACTCACGTTATTATTTTTGGCATAGAATAATTTCTTTCCCTCTCTCAGCTTGAAATATCGCTTCTTCCATCGCTATTGAAAAGAAACTGAATGACWATGTGCAAAAAAGGATTGATTTGTGGATAGGATGTCATTGTCTGATAGTTCTCAGGCAAAATGGGAAATAGGACATTAGACRGTAACATGAAGTGAAGTTTGTGGGAGGTGTAAATTGTAAAATTGCTGTTTCCAAATAAAAATATACAATCATGCTAACATACTCAAATATGCATGCACATTGTAATAATAATTATAATGATTTTGTTTTTTCAATAAAATGAACATCGATAAAGGGAACTTTCAGAATGTCTAATCAAAAAATATAGATAAAATTATAAAGAAACACTGGATAGTTAATAAGGGTTATAATGTTGATTTTGGGAAAGTGAATCACAATGATATTATTTTCCCTATGCAAAGACACAAGCATTGCTCCCTTTTTTGTTTTTAAATGGCAAATAATTTCTTTGAAATAAAATTACCATTGCAACAAATTTTCGGAGATTAGAATAAATCAGATCAGYAAAAAATGATTTGTATTACCATACCTGAAAAGAGCCTGACTGCTTTAATAAATGTCCTTCTTTAAGACAATGCTGCAAAAAAGAGACATCGTGTAAGCATGAAAATTCAATTTATTTCGAGAAAGGTCAATTTCCCACCAAAGATTGTACTGTAGCACACTAAAAAATCTTCAAAACAGCTATAAATATTTTCGTTCATATGCAAATAGAGTCATATTTACATCAGTGTTCATTTCTGAAGATGTAGTTTATGTCTTCCCACTTCCACTTGTCATATGTGCAATACCAATGAATGATTGGACTTGAAACAATCGGRGATTTTCACACTCCACACACTGCGTCGGACAATCATTTATGAACGCACCAAACCACAGAACTAGTAATTTATTCAAGCGGATTGGAATTTCTGCCTTCAGTTCAATACTTTATGCATATTCTTAACATAATAACAGTTTTCATCAAACTCTCTGACGTAAAAGATGCTCGACCTTCGCAGGTGTTCTTGGCTTATAATTGCACTGCTAGTTCGAAACGTCGGATCGAAGCCTCAAATGCTAAAAAAAACATTCAGAGAATTTCTCTCCAAAATACTAAAAAACTACAAACTGCCATTGAGATTCAAGGAGTTCTAATACGAGTAATTCGGGTTGACAGAAAGACTAGATAGTCCAAATAACGGGAAAGAAATAAAATAGAGAAAACTAAGTAAACAGTCAAAATTGGGCAAGTTTCACTTTGCAAATGAAATTTTAACCAGTGTCACATTCGCGGAAATTTGAATAAAAAGGAATCCAGTTGACTTCAGCAACACTATAGGTACAATTCAAAGAAACTTTTGAATCTATGGTACAATATCATGAAATTATTAATAGGTTGTTCCTTTCGGCGGTCAAAAAGAACACAAAAGCAAGCTTTAGAAATTTCGGTTTCAAAKATTTTTTAATCGTGAACGCAGTCAGAGCCACATCGAAAGGTGCTCATTCGCTGAAAAASACTAAACACGCTTCGGATGTTCCTAAAAAATTAATATTTACTGGAGGTGGTGAATTAAAAATATCGAAATTAAAAAAAATGTCTAGGAGATGTAAAGGAGAATGATTTCTTACTTAAATATTTCAAAAGCAATTGAATGGAAGAAGGACAAAAATAACCTCGACCGACTTCCAGAGGGCCTTCCAGAGCCGCTCATCGATCGAAGCGCATTGAGTAGGTGTATTTCTTAATTATGAGATGAAGAAGTTTCCACTTCGACCCGAAATATTTTACATCAAAAGCATGTATATTTAATCTAAAAATCTGCAATATCAAAAGACTTTATGTCTCGTTGATCAAATAAGCTTTTAAAAGTTATAAAGTTGTCTTTCTCATSCTTCAGTCAAAAGGGCAACGACACTGCAAGACCTCTCTCCCAGAAACAAACCATGATTTGTGCTTTCCTAATCGACGCTAATAATATAAGAAAACAATCTTCAATTTGCAAAAATACACTATAAGGAAACGTAAACTTACTCTCGCACGGACTGCAGCAGCGGTTGACTTTCTTCGATGATAAAGCTTCGGAGCTTCAATGGCTCCATCTGAATCACTRTCATCTGAAGAATCTAGTTCATTATCGTCCGAGGCACTAGTAAAATCGTACGAGCCTTTCCAATACTGGGACATTTTGATATACAACTTTTACTCACGAGCGACATACTGTTCTTGAAGTCGACCGGCCATAGCTGTAGCATACATCACGTGATCAGTCAATTCATTGATTTTCTGTATCAGCCCCTCCTGATTTCGAATATTTCTTATGAAAATACGGGGGAAGTAGAATATTGCAAAGAGTAAYTTGCGTGACGTCTGATATAGGGAAGAGATATCTTTGGAATTTCAATTACCCTTCTCCTTTCTTCTTTTTTTTCGCACTGTTTTTTGATAATTTTAGCATATGAAATTTCAAAATTTATTTTGGTCGTATTTTCAAAATAGCATTTTTGTTTGTTTGCTAGTAAGAAAAAAACGTCAAGAAAAAAAAAACAATCTTTTAATGAGTTAGTGTAAAACTTACTGAAATGACGTTGATTTATTGATCCAAAGTGTGAAATAATTAAACTGTTATTCTTGCTTTGAGCTAAAAGAGTTATATTAGGGAATAAGTCTAACAAAAGACATGAAAAGAGAGCCCATTGTATAAAAACAAACATGCCACAAAGTTTTCCTAGAAAATGTCAAAATTTCCTGTTGCGAAATAACATGCACTATCTTTAACCGTCCTTTGTGGCTTTTCGTCCATCATTTTTGAGTGCTTAGTTTCATGATTCTTACAAAACACGCTTTTGATATCGTCTATCGCGTATGGATCAGTGTTAGCCTATGACGTCACAGGAGCGTCAGCGCAAGGTGACGTCATCTACTTCCTAAACTTGGCAGTCGCTACAGAACGAAGTTCTTTTTGTTTTGTTTTTATTCATTCATTTCTATATCTATTTTTCGCATGTTTATTGGAATTTTTGATCGGAAACTCAAGTTACAAGATTTGCGCAAACAGCTATCAGGCAAAAGCTATTTTTATATTACCCTATACTTCATTTTCGTTTATTTATCACTAAAAAGAGTTGGGCGGATAAATCTTTTAAATATTACTAAGACCGTTCGTCTAAGCGAAAAATCCACGGATGTGACACCTACTTACTTGCGCAATAAAAATAAGAAAAAAATATAATAAGAAGACAGGGAACAAAATTTAGAGGAGTTTACGTGGAGTAAACAAAATGATCATAAGATCGGTCCGATCGGTTGCTCACAAAGAACTCTGGAGTTATCAAAAATTRTATGTCACTTARTTCAAAATTCAGTCGAAACTCATTGAAAATTCTTTTGTTTCCCCCAAGCCTCGTCCTCATTTCTTATATTCRACCAGAATATCAAATATGGTCTATTGAGCTGCCGGCGTAAAGGAGTGTTCTTTTCAGAAACTCTCAATAAACTACACATTGTGCCTCTATATCTCGCTTACCATGGTTTTGAGTTTTTTCAKCTGTAGAGGACTTGGTCCGTTGGCAAATCCTCTTTTTGGTGAGGACTGACAGCTAAGTAAACCACCTCCCTTTGGTTTTCCCTGAAAAAAAAAGTGAATTTAGAAGTAAAGGTTTTTTTCAAGTTAAGTTGAAAAGTAAAGTATAATGCATGACATGYATGATTCGATTTAAAAATAATTTATAATTCATGCAACAAACATTCAAAGTAAAAACAAAAAAAGAAGAAGRARGAGAAGAAGAGACCTGCAACAGTGACAAGCAATTCAGATATGACAAAAATATCACAAGTATTTTGATAGTTGTAAATGGTCTCAGYTGAGCCCCCAGCCCCTCGCATGCGCATTTTACGCAAACTGAACATCAACCAGATTCTGGTAGATTTGTGAYAACACACCCAATATTTTACTTGAATTTTTAAGTTTGTCTAGTTTGCCTCGGTTTAAGTAGACGCACTGTGCCAAGTTGAAACAGTTTTATAATGTGTTTTAGTTGGTCATGAGTTTCAATAAATGAGTAGTCACCTTATTAAAGAAGCAGCYGATCCGGCGAAGTTTGCAACATACAAACGGATTCTACAAACCATATAACGAATGCAATACAAATAAAGTTGGCTAAGTGAGCTAGACGTCCTTCTTTAACAGATGTCCACACTGCCGATATCCTGTTTTCTATTTTTAAACATTCGTGAAATGAAGCGTAAACAGTATGAATGACATGTATCAGTCTAATAATTCACTGAACAAAAATTGATTAAAAAAAACTTTGGCAACAAGGCTTCRGAGTATGAGCAAGCACATGGAGGCCTTTGRAATGAAAAAGGAGTTTTTGAAGGAGGCACTGCTATAACGAGGAACCTAAAMAAGACTAGGTCTCTATGTGTTATGATGGATGATATCCATCAATTACTTATATTTTCTTTTTCTTTAAAAAAATGTACTATTTACTTTTACCAACAGTTAAAGATTACTTGCAAATGATTATTGCACCTCTAGTGTCTGAGTATAGGACGAGAAAACCTYTGAAACCGTTTTGAGATCTTTTGACAATGRCTGTATCGTTTTCTGTCACGTGAYTGGATCACGCAGTCAGCCATTTATCAAATTTAGAAATCACTGAAAATGTTATGAAAATGTTACCATTAGGCAGTACAGTCCTCTTAAAATCCACAAATACTAAAAACGTGTTACTAGTAGGCTTTTTCTATCCGACTATWGTATAAAATTATAGTTTGCGCGCTTCACCCCCCGTAGAGTCTCTACAGGGAACATACGAGTCGACACAGATTTTTGAACAGAACAGAATCAGTGTTATTTTAAAAGCTATCAATGACTAAGAGAAGATTCATTTATTTGAAAGCTRAGATACAATAAAAAAATATCTAGTTTTAATAATTGCACTAGTTTCAGCAGTAGGTCATAGGGACTCCTATTTTAATACAGTTACGAATTCTCGACTGTAAAGTCGAGCTTTGATGCTTGACTTATGCGAATAAATCAAACGTTTATTTTATTGGTCATATACTTTGCATGGCAAAACAAGTGTAAGTAAAAGTGAAAATAGAATATAAATTGTAAGATGAACTTGTTCTCAGTTTATGTCTATAGGCCGCTCGTTGACACGGACAATCACTGACACTGTAATATTATGGCAGGCCTACAATAGCTTACCTTAGAGTTCTCAAGGACATACAAAGAAGTGCTTGTCATTGTTCGCGAGTTTGACAAACTAGGAGAAAAAACAATCCGTTGTATAGCTTGATCTTTAAACGGTCTAGATCAAAACCCTGCATGAAGAACGGGTCTRTGCCATCGGTCGACGTAATATCACGACAAATCAATCATCGTATGTGTTGCAATAAGATGCCGTTTAACCATTCAAGGACCAGCCGAGTGGACTGGGATAGTGAAAACACCGAAACCTTTTGACGAGGTTCGAACTTCGAACGTTATGACAATCAACAGTCCTAACAACAATTTCGTTCTGAATGAAGCCACCACGAGTGTAGCTATTCTTAGACGCCGAAGTTTGACCTTTGTTAACTGATTCATAGAAAATTTACACGGAACTACTGATGCGACGGATAGTACGGACGGAAATCGGAATAGCCCCACCCAAATCGAAAGAGTCAAACGGATGCCGAGGAATCAGTGTTTGCAGTGATATAAGCCATTGATAAATGTTGTTTTGAGACACAATAAAATCTAATTTAGACCCTTTTCTGACTGTCAACCACCTTTGACAAACCGACTGACTTTCAAGTGTCTCATGGTCCTATTAAGAAACAATGACATCACTGTTGCTATGAATGACGTCATTGTCCTTTTGATTGATGTTTTTGATGATGTGTCATCTAAATGATCACTTGGTTTACTTTTGTTATATTTATCATGATATAAGAGGTAAAAAGGACACGAGATTGGCGTAATATTGAGCTTCATCAACGAAAGTGTTTTCTTGAGTGCTCCAACGAAACAAAATAAAAAGGCCCATTTTCTCAGGTAACCCAAAAGCTGGGTGCAGATTGAACAATTAGTTTTATGACATCATGACATGACTTGAATACGAATTATGATTATATAAATGCACTCGAAGTCAATGAGAAGTCAACTCCGGGATTCGATCGTTCTACCACTAGGCAGTCTGATTTGTCGAGCTGCAACGCATTACCGAGACTCGCCGATTGACCACACTCATTTACATCATAATAGACCACTTATCACTTTCAGGTTATTGACATCAGATTTTCGAAGACTGCCTAGTTAGTGCGAGGGGTTAAACATGYAAGGTCTAGGGGCCGGATAGCTTCTCCCTCACTAGCTTTTTTAGTTAGCGCAAAGATAGGATCAATTATCAGGATAGCATGGAAGAGCGGAAATTTCTAACCGGAATGTAAATCGATTCGACGCCTCATAGAATGTCAAGAGGGAATACTTACGATATSACCGAAAGCTCCAATTAAACACGCGTCGATCAATTTTGTGAATGATTCCCGACTTTATCTGTTTGCAAAAACCAGAAATGTTGAATTTTACTATTTACCATACGCCTAATGTACTGCGTTTTCAACCGTGCTGCTAAACTTTAAATTATAACAAAAAACACAGATAGCATTAGAAGGAAAAAGTTTATTGGATACAAAAAACAACTTACTGCCATACTCTGCTACAGGATGTCCAGGTAGGAAACACCTCATTTAGAGCTTGTACTGTTAACGTGCTAAAATTCTGCCTGTATGTGAATCCACCACATTAAACTCTTAGATTTCCTTTCCCTGGTCATCCTGGACAACAGCATTTACAGTGTTGTATTTCCAAAAATACGTTGAAATTCCTAGTTTTAAATAATTCAATGATCATAAGGGGATTACATAAGTATAAAAGAGAAATCATCAAAATTCTTAAGAATAACCTTGAAAACTCATATTGCCTATTTGAAGTGTTCACAATTATAAAAACCAATATTTTGTTCTTTTTCATTCATTTTTTCCCATCTTTTTGTTCCAGTTTTCAAGACAATCACATTATCAAAAAACATGAAAGAAATACTTCAACTGGCATACAGAGTGATGTACTTTGCAGGAGATATGCTGACTTATATATATATTAAGAAATGATTACAAGAAATAGACAGAGCATCAGATCAAGAAATTGCAAAGCTCAGCTGCTGAAAGCTAGAGATAAAAAGATTGAGACATGATTGATAATTAAGATAGTGCAGAACCTTAAAAACAAGAAAAAGGAAACGTTTCTCAGTCACTGATTTAAATTGTTGTTGTAGAAACTATAAAACACCCTACATTAAAAAAGCATTCCACATTATGTAGCACAAATACACAAATGTCTTCGAAAAAAACAATCGGCATCCAGTTGAGCCTAAAGCCTGACTCTCACAAACATCAGCATTGGAAGCAATCATATGCAGAATTTCCAAAGGGCTAATCATAAGATGCCTTTCATTTTGAGCAAATAAGAACATCACCCTGCCTGCACATGTAAACTTCCAATGAACAGATGATGCTAGTGCGAACTCAGTTTGACTATCAACTTAATTAATTTCGATTCTGATTCTGTTATATGCTCCTCTTTCCAAAAGGTAGGTTTCAGACCTTTCGATGTTCTTGCCATACACATTGCACTTAATCTTCATTGATCCCATATCATCCACTTTAAGGGCAACAAGAGGTGACAGCCAATGCTCTTCAGCACGGTATGGGAAGAAACTTACAGGATAGCCAGGAGTTTCCTTTGGATAAATCTGTTAAAGTTTAATACAGTGATGTAAGCTTAAATATTAAACACTTTCATTAAGAATCTTATTCAAACATTTTACTTACTGTTCCCTTATCACATGTGACTTGCAGATAAGAAAGACCAGATTCTGGTTCAGGCACAAAGTTGAACACCTAGAGAGAAAAAAAAAACAAGAGTTTTTAAAAACCATATGTAAGATATAATATATGAGCAGGAAATCTGTAAAAGGATTTGAAGCCACATACAGGTCAACTAAAATTTTTTATTGTCCTTATCAAACATCTGGAGAAGCTCTACCATTTTTTGAAACATTTGATAGCAAACCTCTAAAAAGACTAATATCTGAAGAGACTTAGTCATGTGACCCAATGAACCACCCTCATTGAAACAATAGCTTGTGAATTGTTAATGAGTTTGATAAGTAATGAATAACATTGTGAATAACTGGGTACATTTAGCAATACTAATATCTTATTAACAGAGCGCGAGGGCAGTACAGGTAGGTATGGACTGAATTTTTTTCCACTGACTTATGGCCAGAGCGGCCATAAAAAGTGGAAAAAACTAGGTTCCATAGCTTCCCGTGCGACTCGAGCAAGCGAGGTTATAAAAGATATTTATGATATAGCATTTTCAGGGAAAAATAGTAAAATTAATAGAGAATCGGACATAAAAATACAGTTTTGTTCGTACTTAATAGAAGGAAAAAAGAAAAGCCTGAGAAACCTTGGTGGCAAAATTTGGATTTATTTTTGAATCTTTTTTATACAGTACAACTACAAAAAGAGAGAAAGMGAGCCTTTTTAAGATAAAAAACGTTTTTTCTCGTTTCATCTGGTCCGTGCAGGAAAGTATGGCCCGCTTTTTAGCCGATGAAATCATGTGTTATATCCAAGMTATATAATAAAGATTAATATTGCCTTTCATAAGATTGGCATTTCTCATATTGACTAACTGCACTTACCTTATTCATTTTTAAAAAGAAACATGGTTTACCAGCTTTGTAGCCATAGTCAAAATCTTTAGCAGTACTATAGCATGGTCCTAGTTTGCTCAGATCGAAGTAGCACTGCTTTTCGCCTTTTTCAACAGTTTTAGTTGAATTGAAGCTACAAGGCGTTTGCTCATAATAAGCTTTATCTTCTCCAGTTTGCTCTATGTAGGCTAAAAGAAYGATGCACAATAATTAGAATAGAAATTTAGGAACCAAAATTGAAAATAATTGATGAAGAACATACGTTTTAGAGCTTTGTTGATCTCTTTTACTTCTTCATCGTATGTGTTGGGCTCATCCTTATCAAATGTGACCTTGTGATAAGGCAAAACCCGTACAGCTAAAAATATRAACATAAAAATGTCAATTAATGTAATTACCAGTACAAAATCTACAGTATCTTTACTTTTTTTAAAACATGTGTACCACTGTYTATAAGTTTTTAAAAAACTGGACATGCATGACATGTTAGGAGTTATAGTTCTTGAGTATTAGCAAATGACAATGGCAAAATWCATGTACAATACATGATTATGGTTGGAGGAAAGTTGCTGGTGGGGCATATTAATTTGCTAGTCACTACATTCACCATTTTGTAGCGACAACATGTAAATAAGTTTGTGTCTTTGGGATTGAAATCACCCTCCATAAATGATTATATCGTTTGCTCTCAAGATTTTGTCGAAGTTTACATTCTACATAAAAGGATATACAAGCTTACATGAAATATGATACGTCGCAAGACCCATGTCCTATTGTTCTACTCTTTCTCAATGAAATACCTCTAGACCTCAAATTATAACTTAACATCGAGCACAGAGTGTATATACAAATTGACAGTACGACATCAAAAGCAAGAATCTGATTTAAAGATCTAATGAATTTGCTAGACTCGAGTCGAGCCAAATATCGCAACGCCCCCATTTATTTGAACGAAATTCATAAATTAGCAAAGATGTTGAGCCTGTCTTGTTTTCTTGCATATTTTATTTCAACAGAAATATGTACTAGTAATAAAAAATAATCATTCCAACATTGTTTTTACATAAAAATTCTGCAAGGAGATTAGATACAGTAGATAGAGTTAAAAGGTCAAATTCATGGCTTTGCAACCTTACGTTGCAACAGAGATTTTCAGAAAATATACAGCTGCAATAACTCACATATTTTACTTTGGACAATACAATGGATTTAGATTATTACGCTCTGCTAAGTTCATTGATGCATGATTATATTCAAATCCGAGTACAATGGGCCGAAGTCCAAGAAGGGAGGCCACATTGCAAGGACCCTGCAAGGTGTCTTGAGATTATTTTTGGCAAAACAAATATAATTTTTATGCTAAAAACTAACTCATATTCTCATGTTTATCAAAGGAAAGTTTAGGATAAATATTAAACTCTTTTTCAACAATATTCAAAGTGGTATACTTACGAGATTTGCCCGCCAGATACTGAGTTAATTTCGGACCTTCCTTCCGTTCAGGCATTGTAGCAAGAAACGCGTTCAGCATTGCAGCGAAAAACGCTGCAAGACACAGGTAGAAGATGAAGAAAAAGAGCATGATCTTTCCTAAAAGGAAGAAATGATATAATTTGAGTATGAAAACTAATTTTGAATCCATAAATTTGTATACCGCGACCATTGCACACGGCCCTCTCGATTTGCGAAATGCCGGTATAAAAGTCTGMAGTCCGGTGTACAAYATTCGCCAAAAATACTACCATCTTGAACGGCTACCTACCCCAACTACTGGCATTTCTTCCCATTACTTCTTTCTTCTCTTTGTTGTAGAGAAAGAGCCCAAACTCCCTTGCAGTATTCTGAAATTGCTGCCATTTCGTTAGTCCCTTTGGTGACTCCGCATACGCCATCTTGGAAGTTCAACCACGCTGTTACTTGTGCCGCGAGGCATCTGTCACGTGATTTCAATATATATGCAAGATGAGATACGTCTAGGGAGGGGAGGGTAGACAAACGCTTGAAGAATTTTATAACTCTCAATTTGTAACCAACTTCATTTGTTTTGGCATAAAACTAAAAATGTCTTATCCAACTGTTCTTTAACTGTCGTTTATGCTGGCGAAATATTCAAGCTTATTTAGATTGTAATTTTTGAGAAATTTCCTGGACTTTAAGTTAAAACGTATTGAAAACAAATTGTTTTTGTTTTGTTTTGTCTTTTATTTGCTTTTTTTGCTTTGCTTGGTTGTTTTTTTGTTTTGTTTTTTTTGCATATATGCTTTCATGTATGCTATAAATCATTGAGTCTATTCTCTAAAATTTCACTGATTTTACAATACGTGGTATTTTAGATTTCATATRCCGGCAAATATGATTTGGTTAGCGATGACATCTCCCTTATCAATCCGACTTTTTTTAACAAAGAGTTCCATTTTTGTTYATTCATAGTTTTTCCCTCCCCTCCCTCACGGTTTTTCTGCATTGTGACGTATGAACGAACACAGCTGGTCAGCACGGTTGCTATGAGACGATTGGTTGAAATTTGAGAAGATCCTCACACGGTAATCTCCATTCACACTTTTATTCATTATTTATTGGAACGAAAAGTAGTTAGACAGTTCGAGTATGCTTATGTACTGCAAGAGGATTGGTTTAGTGTTGCTTTGGGTCGAAAAAGATGAATAAATAATCTGAAACAGGAAACTTCCAGGGAAAAGCTTCGGCAGTCGCTTCACCCGGAAGAGATTTCATCTGATATGGTAAGTAAGTTATTATTTACAAACTCCATACATAAAAAAGATGAAAACCGCTTTTGAAAATCATGTTTGTATGGCCAAGAAAAGATTATTTGGAATATGAGCYATTAAAAAAATTCCTACTGAGTCTTTCCAAAAAAGGGATGACTGCGTTTATGATGAATATTAATATTGGTCAGCTACCTTATTTCAAAGAGTTATTCGTCCATTTCTACTTTTTCGTACGAATGAAATAGATTTCACTACAACTTGAGATGGAAAAAGGATTGAAACTGAAAAAAGCCAGTTTTTGATTGTCACGAAAAATCAAGTGTTAATGTTAACTTCATTCAAGGAAAAAGAAATTTTATTAAACTGCATGCTTAAATTGATTGTTTAGAATAAATAAAAGTTGTTACGACAATTAAAAGAAAGATATTTTTCGCATCGAAATCATATGAAGTAAACGGGTTGATTTTAATCATGATGGCCAGCGGTAAATGGCGGTAAATAAGAATTACCATAGCAACCAATACTCGAACAGTACAAGTAATGTTTCAAAATGTCGGGCAATGAGGAAGATTCAAAGCCCGATTCCAGCGAAAACAACAAGCAAAACCTGAAAGGTGTAACAAATAAACTTAAAGCTGAAGCTTTGAGAAGGCTCAAACTCGAAGATGCTGAGTATGACGAAGAAAAATCAAAGGAAGAGGGCAACAATGATACAGGAGAAACAACCGATGTTCCCACTTCATCGGAAGATGGGCAAAAGTCAGTCCCAATAAACGCAGAAGAAACTAATGTGTCTGCTGAAAATAGTACAGCTGAACAAGTTAAAAATCATAGTGACGCATCAAGTGAATTGAAGAAACATGACGAAGGACAACCAAGCAAAGAAGACGAAAATGTTCGGGATGATCAAGTTGTTTCTACAAATGATGGAGTTCAGCAAATTCAGGCAGATGATGAAGATAGCTCAGGCAAGAGAATAAGTGAGCCATCTACTGAACAACAAGATGTAACTAAAGAAGAAGAAGGACCGGAAAACGCAGGATCTGCTCCTRATATAAACAAAAAGCCAGAAAGCGAACATGGGACTGACAATGRAATTGCTGATACTACTGGTMCTGGTRAAAYTGATAGGMATGATACTGGACCTGATKATAGTGCCCGCTCAAATGTTGATGATATAGGGTCTSCACCATCAGCAGAACAATCCGCAACTGATRAGTCAAAGATAATTTCTGAAACAACGGAGATTCCAGAGGAAAAGATTTCTAGCTCATCTAWAGAGCAAGAATCAGCAAAGTCTAATTCACAGGAAAATGAAGAAGATCAAGAGGCAAAAGATAAYGTTAAAGATGAAACAGTAAAAGAAACTGGACAAGATAGAATGGAAGAAGGTGGAAAAAGTGGAAAAGAAAAAGAAAGTGAGAGTAATGGAATAGAAAGAGAAATTAAGCAAGATGATGATTTGAAGGAAACMGAATCAGCTGAAAGCAAAGCACAAAATGAACAAGATGAAAAGRCAATAGAAAGTGGACAAGATRGGACTAAAGYTACCAAAGAAAGTTCAAATGAAGATAAAGCAGATGTTGCCAGTACTCAAGCTACTTCAACAGAACCCAAGCCAAGTGATTCTTCTAAACCTGAAGATGATAAAGAACAAAGTGATGAGATTTCCCCACCTTTAAATGAAATAGTTGAAGGACAAACCGAAAACAAACCCAATAATGATTCTTCTGTTGCTACAGATATAGGAGAAAATAGCAATGTAAAGTCAGATAATGAAAATAATAGTATAAGTAGTACTGATCACAAATCTATTGAAAAACAGGAGGATAAAGATGGCATCTCTGAGGACAAAGTAAAGTCTGATGAAGCTACAAAGGATGCACAAGGTAATAGTGAAACAACTCAAGAAAAAGATGAAGCCAAAGGAAATATCCCAGCCACAGAAAACAGTAATAAAGAAGATGATACAGTAAAGTCCTCTCAAGAAAAAAAGGAGTTGTCTCAGGCTGATAGCAATATCCCTGTTTCAAATGATAAACAAGAAGCTAATGTTGATGAAAAATCCAGCAAAGAWAAAATTGATTCCAGTGCAGAAAGCAAGGATATAGATAAAACAGATAAAAAAGAATCTGAAACAACCAAAGAATCAAGTAAAGATGATAAAATTGGAGAAGAAAAGGATGGTGAAAAGAAGAGTGAATCAAAAGAAACTGTGCAAGAAGAAGGAGAGGCACCTCCAGAAGTAGATAAAGAGCAACAAARCGGAGAAGATGCATTACAAGAAGGTGCACCTGAAGGCCAAGGTAACACAATTATTTCTCCCTTAATTATATTATATATAGTGGAACTCTGCCTAACAACCCACTCGCTTAGTTAGGACACTTCAATATAACAGCCAGTTAAACACTCATAYGTTGTTGCCCAGTTAAAAAGGCRATAAGCCCGATAATTTGGCCACTTTTCAATGCCACTTCRGTGGCTGAATTAACAAGGTTCCACTGTATAGTGATTAATATTGATTTTTATATTGTTTCCTTTATTTCTTCCTTTTTTATATAATTTATATTCGTTTTAATAATTTTTGATCTTTGACTCATTTTAGTTGATGGGGAAGAAGAAGAAACAGTACTAGCTGATGATTTTTTCTATGACTATGAAGAGATTGTTTCTAAGCCATACTCTTCAGAAGGAATTCCTAATAGTCTTTTGACTTTACAGTATCCTTGATAAACTACATCATTGGCTGCATATCACCCTAGTTTTCCTAGTTAGTTCATTTATCCTTATAGAATATTCAAACTATGGCCTTTCTCAGCACATGATTGATTAGAAAACAAGTCAAAAAAAGGAATAGTACAATGAAGTGCTTTTACTTACTGTATTCTCCCATTGTTAACTCTACCCTTGATTTTAAACCATTTGAAATGTTTCATGTCCATGGTATTGAATACAGTASGTAAACCTATCTGTCTACATGTATCAAAGATTTAACTTTAATCTGTTGCTTACCCTGGTTCCAGAGGCTTGTCTTTTATTCCTATCGGCTTACTATGTTGTTGAGCCACAGAGGGGCGAGATATTTTCTTTAATCAGTTTGTTTTTATGCCAAGCCTCTGGTATCAAGCATAAGCAATCTCTTACAAAGGGTGAATAGGCCTGTGCACTGAATAAAAAAACATTTGTAGAAAATGTATRCAGTGGGCAACTCATACCAAATGAAGAACTTGATACACTTTTATTTGTTCAACTTTGAGCAGGATCAATGTCACTGTATTCCTTAACTYAGTAAACTCCAGCCATTCGTTTGGGTTTGAGTGTACAAAAAGAGAAAACCTTCATGTTATGGATGAGGAAACTATTCTATTTTCTGCTGGCAACATGGGACAGTTACTTAACATCAAAACTCAAGAGCAGACCTATTTCAGGACTACGGGAGGTGGTGGTATTGGGGCAATAGCAGTAAGTACTGTTTATTACTGTTTCAATAATATTGCAAAATGTGTAATATGATAATTGCAACTTTTACAATTGATAATGATAAAGCATTTTACAACCATCACTTCCCATAAAAAGGTCTCTTCCGAGCACCATGTCTCAACCCCACTCAATTATACCTTAAAAAACCAAACTGGCCAGGATGCAAACCACTTGAACAAGTATGGTAAAGAGCTGTAGTGGTCATAACAGGACTCAAGACCAGAACACTTACTTTGGCATGCTTGATGCCTTAGCCAATCTGCTTTGTTCTCCTAAATGTAACTTGACTGAACAATAATAACCAATTATTGGTCTGAAGTATATCTCTCCTTTGAAGCTATGCATTATAATGTTATTCTAAACAAATATATTCATCATTATGTTAATCTTCCATAGATCCACCCAAGCAGAAAGTATTTTGCAGTTGCTGAGAAAGGAATCAAACCAAATATCAACATATTTGAGTATCCTTCACTCAAACTTCACAGAATCTTACGAGATGGAACAGAAGAAGCTTACTCCAACCTTGACTTTTCTCCCGATGGAACTAAACTTGCTTCTGTTGGTTGTGCTCCTGATTTCATGCTGACAGTGTGGGATTGGAAGAATGAGAAAATTCTGTTAAGATAYAARGCATTTTCTCAGGATATTTACAAAGTTGCCTTCTCTGCTGACAATGAAGGACACGTCAACACCAGTGGATCTGGACACATCAGGTWCGATTGTTGAAAGAGAGTTCTTGGCATTGATTGTTACATGTTATCTAAGTTCTTCTCTCCTAACTGAATTGTCTTGTTTTTTCTATWGTATCATGACTGTGTTGTTTTCACCAGGTTCTGGACAATGGCAAACACATTTACTGGACTTAAATTACAGGGAATGATTGGAAAATTTGGGGCAAAAGAAATTTCAGACATTGAAGGTACAGTATTGTCACTAAATCATTGATGCTTCTGTCAGAACATGAACTGGGACTGTTGACATGTACTTTACATGGCATGAGCTATTACTTGTACCCTGTGTAAGTACTACTAAAATATCATTCATTTTATTCATTTTCCATTTTTTTCCAGGTTTTGTGGAGTTGCCAGATGGTAAAGTMCTRTCAGGGTCAGACTGGGGTAACATGTTACTGTGGGAGGGTGGTTTAATCAAGGTGGAGATATCTAAGAAAGGCAAAAAGACATGTCATCATGGAATGATTCAGCAGTTCTTCATGGATGAAGGAGAATTGATGACTATTGGTGTTGACGGATTTGTCAAGGTAACAATCGTTGTGAAGTCTGCCCTGATTGGCTAATTCTTTCTATTGTATAAAGCTATAGACTGATTTGCTCACTCTGAATTTCATTATCTTAAAAGGTTTGGGATTTTGAAAGTATTGACAATGCTGATACTGATGATCAGGGTGCATTGTTTGAGGTCGATCCCATGTATGAGCTAAAGGTGAGGATGATTACATTGTTATATATAATATATTTTTTTAATCATTCCCAATTGATTCATGCACTCGACTCCTCCATTCTATTCATCTGTAAATGTACTGCTCTGTGTAACCGTGACTTGTTGACTTTCCTTGACTTCATAGTTTTATCACTGAAATTCAATGAAATATCATCTATTTCACTATTCATCCATCTCATTGTATTTGTTTATTTTTGTTYAGGTTGGTACTGATGTTAAACTAATGTCTATGCAAAAGGCAGTCAATAGTGAGGCTCCAATTTGGTATGCTCAGGTAAGTCACTTGTAAACTGATTATTTGCCATATTATTCAAGTTATCCTCATATACTGAACAATTTGTTTTTAAATTGACCTCTTTGTGGCCAGTATTTCATGATGGTACAATCTACTATTTTGTATTGCAGGATGCTGGAGGCGGTATTTGGAAGCTGGACTTATCGTTCACTCACACCGTAAGCACATTGATTGTTACTTTGCATTTGTTACTTCTTATGAAGGCTTGAGTKAAAKTYAGGGAWTATTGTATTATTTTTGTAGAGCCATGCTCCAGAACGCATGTTTTCCTTTCATGCCGGTCGTATAACAGGATTAGAYACYTCRCCTGTTGCWCAYTTTGTTGCTACTTCAGGAGAAGATCGTAAGTTCAGATTAAACATTAGTCTCGACTCATAATGTTTTTTCCTAACCCTCTTTTCTGTAATGTTAAGACACCTASTTTTTCTAGTTCTATTCTTTCCCTTTTTTTCTAATGTCATTTTTCCCATAATTGATGTCCAGATACAGTTCGTGTGTACGACTACCTGGCAAAGAAGCAGATCTGCCATTCTAAGTTTAATTCAGGCAGTTCTACMYTGCTCTGGGTTCCAAAAATTGTAAGTACAAAACATTTGCTTTTTAATTATTTAATTATGATGCTGGGCCAGTTCTAAGAAGGTTTAATAGTGCTATCTACTGTATAAATCCTTATTCAGAGAATAAAGTCCATACAAAATCTAAGTAGTGGATAACTCTATCCACCCTTCATACAGCAGGCAACTGGTTATGACCATGAAGTTGGTATAATTAAYAAACAAATTRATCCTCWTAGGTCAGTACYAAAGGTACCTGCATCTTAGCTGGTTTTGAAGATGGTGTGGTGCGTCTTCTTACTCTCAATAAAGTTGACCTTTCRCAAGTTCGTTCCAAGAAGTCTAAATCTGACTTTGAGCTTAATCTAACCCAAGTCTTCAAGCCGCATACAAAACCTGTCACTGTCATGACTATTGATGATAAAGGAGAGTTATTAGCCACTGGGGTAAGTCTAATATTGTTAGTTGTACAATTATAGGGTCGAAACAAAACCACCTATGAAAATACTTTTAACTTTGTTACATCAAATGTTGCATTTTTCATTGATATAACTATCTTTGTTCTTCAGAGCTCTGATTGCACAGTGTTCTTCTTCACAATTGGTGATACTTATAAACCCATTGGCTTTGTTGAAACTGCTTCTCCTGTCGTATCTATTGAATGGTCAAACAAGGGGAAGGTAAGATATATAACATATCAAAGCTGTAAAATGTCTAATAAAACCAGGCAGTGTTCTTTTTTAAAGTTCACAGCATCAGTGCCTGTGTTGTTTYATCAGCCAATGGTTGATCAGAGGTCATGCTTTYCTAGAATACAGCTCCAACAMRAATGATAACTGTTTGTTTGTTTCATAAAATACAGAAAGAGAGAAGYGTCTTAGTAAGCTGTAAAGATGGGACTGTCTTGGARGTGGAAGCACCTCAGCCAGGAGAACATGACACAAGTAAAACTTTCCACCTGCCGCTAAAGAACTTGAAAATCACTGAATTCTTCTTTAAGAGAGTAAAAGACAAGCTAAGGGTAAGAAAATAGTATCTTGTAGTAATCAAAGACGGCCCTAGAAAGAGAATGGTGATTGATGGGTGTGATTGGAATGGGGAAAATGCATTGAAAAAACGAAAGAGAGAGAGATATCGTAGGAAGATAGGAAGGAATGTAAAGAAGGTCAGAAGAAGGGAAAAAATACAGAAAGAAAGATAGGAAGCAAGAGAGAAAGAATAAAAGAAATAAAAGCAAATGGAAAATGGTAAAAGAAGGGTGTAACAAGGTGTAACTTCATGTTTATAGAAAGCTGAAGCAGATGCAATCAAAGCCAAAGAAAAAGAAGCAAAGCGAAAGAAAAAGGAAGCAGAGAGAGCTAGAAGACGGGAAAGAGGTTTAGAAGAGGAAGAAGAGGAGGAGGAAGAAGAAGAAGAGGAGGAGGAAGAACAGGTCGAAGAAGTACAGGATCACGGACCAAGTGAGATCATCAAGGGTTTCTATCACAACAAAAATGACAAATTCTTCTTATCAATGGTGAGTAGAACTTTTAGATTCTTTAAATAATATTAAAATCTGCTTTCATGTGATTATGATGCAAAATGATGATGATGACAATAATAACGTTCCTCAGGATGGCTGGGATGCAGGGTATCTATACGAATGTGAGTTTTCTGAAAAACCAWCAGAAGGAGAMGAAAAGGGTGAAGAACCAGTRCGTAGTATTCCTGTYGACAACAGCAATGATGCACCGATWAGATCCGTTTACACAACGTAAGTTCACTCTCCTTTACAACCGCGTTTGTCATTTTTTCTCTTTTACTGGACTTCCTGGTTTAACTAAATAGCTATCAAGTGCTGATAACAAAGGGATCAATAAAACTGATATAAACTATTAACGTTTGTCAACTTTTCTTGATGGCTTCCTGTCAAATATCAATAAATATTTCCTTTAATTTCTGTGCGATGTGCCGTGTTGGACCTTTATGGCCATCTAGATGTCGTTGGATGGTTGTGGATAAGTGTGTCACGGGTCTGTTCAGTCTTCGAATTCAACCCAAGCCTGTAGACCCAAAGTCCAACTAAGCGATCACAAGCCCATCACGACTCACTTATATTTGTCTTTTTGAACCTCCAGACATTCCAAGAAGTTCCTTCTGTTTGGCATGGAAGATGGMATCATTCGYATCCACCCTCTAGARGATGGCACTGATCTGGAGCATCTCCAATCCTATTGGTCGTTTAGTATCCATGACAACCATAATGGCGCTATAACCAAGATCATYACTAGTTTTGATGATAAGTACGTCTTTACCTCGGGTGCTGATGGGAATTTCTTTGTGCACAAGTTCATGGATGAAGCTGTTAAGGGAATCAAGATACCGCATAAAATTTCACTGCCTTCTCCTAAGGTATGCTTTGGAATGCCATCAAATGGAATGAATGTTCGTTAGGTGCTCGCTATACCGTCGTAAGGTGTTCGTTATATGTTCGTTAGGTGTTCGCTATAACTTTGTTATATGTTCGTTAGGTGCTCGCTATACATTTGTTATGTTTGTTATATGTTCGTTAGGTGTTCGCTATACCTTCGTTAGGTGCTCGCTATACCTTCGTTATATTTTCTTTTGACTTTTTTTCCGTCTCATAGAAACGTATTGGAGAAGATGGTCAAGAAATTAAAGACAAAGTGGATGATATTGATGATCCTAATTTCTACAGGTGAGCCGAAACACATTCTCATAAATCTATGTCACTATGATATGGACACGCCCATTATACGTGAGTACCTTTAAAATAGGAGTATTCCAGAAGAATAGCACATTCATTATAATAGAAATCTCCATCCATTTGTTTTGTGAGAGATTTTTATGCTAAAAACCTTAACTGTGTTCGTTGTAGTATTGAACTTGAAAAACAGAAAGCAGAACACGACCGAATGGTGAAACTTGCCGAGGAGAAGAAACAGAATGTTCGACGTAAGATTACTAATCTTAGAAAAGCCTTTAAGCAATTGATGAACAGAAACCAAGAACTTCCTGATCATGTGCAGCTTAAGTCCGAGGTAAGGAGAGTATTAAACATTACACTATCACTAATGTTAATATGTGAAGCATTTCCCCTCCCCTCCACCTTTAGGACATTTACGCGAACTATTGCTATAATGATGATCGTACATTGACGGATTACAATTGATAAATTTCTTGGCAGGAGTTTATTATTGACCCTAATATGAAGAAAGACCTTAAAGACAAGACCCAAGATAAGGTTCGTATCTTCTATTCTTAACCTCTTTCGCTGGCTGTCTTGTTATCAATATGACTTTCTTTTTTTATTAGTTATTAGTAGGAAAAAATACAATTAGTCCTCTGTCATTGGTAGCTCATGGAAGACACAATATTAACTCACTGCTCACATTGTTCTACTGTAGATTGATCTTGTCCATAAAGAATTAGCATGGGAAACAGAAAAACATTCCATTGGTCTCAGCAAGATGAAAAAGAGGTACGGAAACTCGTTGCAATGTTAATTAGATATATTCATTTTTCTCAAATGTATAATATTGAAAACGACTGAAATAATGAATGAAACTGTCATCCTCTCTCACGACCAGATTCAAGGATGAGATAGAGTGCGAAAGGATTGTTCTAAGAGCCTTCAACTCGGACCATCTTGTGTCAACATTTCGCGCCTCAAAACCTGATTATCTCGAGTTGCTTCAACGAGAGGAAAAGGAAAACAACAAAACAAGCGAGGGTCCGGAGAGTGGGCCACGAAAATCCATCGTAGGAGGAAGACAGTTACGACGTCAAAGTACTCAGGATAAGATTCCTGCACAGCAAGCACAGCAACAACCGCAGCAGCAGACGCAAGCACAAAGTCAACTCGGCGGGAAAGTTGCTAAAGCTTTAGAAAAAGCAGAAGCWCGWCGGATGAAAAGATTGAACCGTCAAGCTCAGGTTTGCTGTTTCTTTAGCACTTTATTGCCTATCATTCAATGTAATAATTGTCAATGCATACATTCAAATCTATTACTATGTAGATATTTTGTATCGATATCCTTAACTTTAGGTGGATATTTTTGAGTTTTCAATCATATGAAAAGAGGCGAGCGAGCAGACGTGATGATTGGATGATAAAATGATTGACAGCTGAGGCACTGCMAACTGCTGTTRTTGTCATTGCCTCCATTGAACGTTATATTGTTCTCTTGACTCAGTGGGATGAACTTAACCGTAACAAGCCAGACGAGAACTACGAAGATCCAAAAGACAAGGCCGCCATCAAGGAAGCTAAGGAAAACATGGGTGATTACAAACTTAAAACGGCCAAAGATTATGTAGTACCCGAGAGCCAACGGGTCAACGCTGACAAGAAGAGATTACAATTGCTGAAACTACTTGATCAGGTTGGTTTATATTTGGGGCTTAATTTTCTGTTCGTGAGATGTTCGTGTGGTGTTCGTTAGATGTTTGTGTAGTGTTCGTTGCATGTTCGTGAGATGTTCGTTAGGTGTTCGTTGTATGTTTGTTAGGTATTCGTTGAACGGTTCTTTTCACAAATGGGCGTTGGTTCATTTTTGTTTGTTTGTTGGTAGCCATTTTTCATTCACAAGAATAAACTTTGTCTTCTTCATTTGCTTTTTTATCATGATCAACTCACATTCCTTATTAGATTCACCAGTACAAGTTTGACTTCAATCAGAAATTCCTGAGTCTTAGAAACAAGAAGATCGCAATCATWAAACAGGTTAGGAACGTAGATCATYAACATCATCATTGCTACAATAACGTATCATGTTATTGGCATCATGACTATAATCACCATCATCATCATCATCACTACKTACACCTATTTGATTGTGAAGTCCTTATCTATTGTTTCATTGCTTGCATTTTGATTCTTCACAAAAATACATAGTGACATGAAAGAGTTMATTTTAAGYATCATATCTATRAATGGTTGTTGTAGGCAAAAGACAGCACAGGCAAAATCCTGGAGATCCAAAAAAAGATGGATTCCTACGCCAGACGCCCTATTCCAAAAGTTCCTGAAATGAAGCCGGATGAACAGCCGGAAAAGTGAGTAATATTACTATAAAGATTAACCAATTAAACCATTATTATACATAACTGTTTGATATAAGATAGTCTACTCGACGTCCACAGTGCACCACTGTTGATGCATCTGCCAATCACGTGTCTGGCACAATTCGTCACAATAGTAGTTGTTATAGCAACCACCGCACATCAGCATTTCGGTATCAGTCCTCCCGCATGCGTTACACGTAAATAATTTTTCATTTTCTACACTTAGAGAGTAATAACTCTCCTCGCTGATTGAAGATCTGTTAGCGACATCCGAAGAATTGTGCTTTGAGCAGACAGCGTTTTCTTTCAGTTGACCGCGTTTCTCGGAAGATTGTCCTTCTGTCATAAGAGCTTTGCGTCGTTCTTTCTCCAAAATACGCATTACATCATGTCGGGGCTTCTTAGCCAACTCTATTATCACTTGTTTTGACCTGGGTTGGTTTAGACTTCGAATGGCGCACATCTCTACTTCACAGAATGGTTGTTTCTCAGTCATGTAATCAAGCTTTGCTTTCTTTGTGGGAATTTCGTGTGGTATGTACGCCAGAACTTCCCTTTGCATTGACTTTGCTGGGGACACTATTGTTTGTGTCTCGCAAGATGGCTGTCTCTCTGTGGCGTCATCTACTTTAGCTTTCTTGGCTGATGTGTCATGAGGATTGATTTGTGAAGCCTTGTTGTGCGGAAGATCTTTGTTGTGCTGTGGCTTTGTTGATGTTTCTTTTGCTGTTGTTGTCTCACACAATGCCTTTTTCTCGGTCGTAGTATTACCTTTTCTTTTGTTAGCCAGGACATCTTCAAGACTTATCTGCAAAACTTTGTTGAAAGGTGCGGGCTCTTCAGTTTGAGCTGGCTTTGACGGCAAACTGTGTAGGGTTCTTGTGTCAGTTTTGTTAGTGCTCTTTTTACGATCTTCCTCCTTTTGTTCATGGTTGAATTTTGCGTTAATTTTCAAGAAATCGCGTAGCGCTTCTCGCCGGGTCTCGATTCTTATTTGATTCAGTTCTTCCTGGTGTGCTTTATCCATCTCGGCGATCATTTCTTGCATTTCTTTTTCCTTCTCTTTCGCCATGCGTTCTACGATGACCTTGGCTGTATTGCACACTTTGATGATGGTTTTTGTGCTTTCTTCGCGATGTTTATCCATCCAGCGTTTCATTGCTTCTTGTTTCTTTTGCAGAAAGGACTTCTCTGCTCGAAGCTTGAACGCGGCTATTTGAGCGGCTTTGTGAACGCTGGTTGACTTCTCGTTATCGTCGGTTACCTTTTCTACCGATGCTTGATACTCTTTCTCCGCGTTTTCAAATCGTTTTTCGTTGACAGGAGTCTCCATTCTTACCTTTATTGTTTTCTTGGTTTTGTCTTTGTGCGTAACAAACAGACGTTACTAACGTAGACAATCGATAACAAGCCGCGCGCTCCTACCGTTTGAAAGTGAACTGAAAGCGTGCGCCGCACACTGTCAAAATGACTTGCACGTGCAAAGGTTTTCACAGGTAGCCCAAGCACTACACATGTCGGCTTTTCTCTGAAGGTCTTGTGGGGAAAAACGAAAAATTCAATAAAAGTAGGAAATCTTCATAAAATGAATTCAAAAATTTATTACACATCTATGCGAAGTTTCAGCTCTCTGCAGTCAAAAAACTGCTTTTTTTCTTGATGTTGGTCCCCTAGATAATAAATAGTTATTATTGTAATAAATTAAGAAAAACATATTGTTTGAGTTTGAATTCATTTTATGAAGATTTCCTACTTTTATTGAATTTTTCGTTTTTCCCCACAAGGACTTCAGAGAAAAGCCGACAAGTGTAGTGCTTGGGCTACCTGTGTTTGATTCTAACCTTCAGTCACAGACAGCCCACCGCTCATTTTATTCTCACAAATATAAGACCTACGAAAATAACATTATTAAAAGAATTCGATCTTCTCGATACAACTATATTATGCCTCATATATGATGAGTGAAGAGAAATTTGAAATTCGGCGAGAGTTGTTTGTTGAACGGTTTTGAGTTTTATGTCCTCTTGACGTCATGAAATGTTCAAAGCTTTGCCTTTGCAGTGATCCCACGCCGCGAGTCGGCTCGCTGTGAAGTTGTGCATATTCTTTGACGTCAAGACATAAAAAAAAAAGTTTCCAATTTGTATTTTACCCAATATATTTAAGAAGTTTGTATAAATCATGTTGAAATTGAGAAGGTCGTTAAATCAGCTCTGTTGTTTTGTTCGCTGCGTTAACAGATAAGCTGTGAATGAAAATTCTCTATACCAAAAAAAATGTATAAGTATAAATATAAGTATAAATCATTATTTTCTTTCAAATGAACGCGCGCGCGAAATGTGATGGTGTCAGTTGTCTTGTTGTTGACAATCCCCAATCAGCCAATCAGCGCGCAAGAATTCACGCCACTTTGATAGGCGCGGACCTTCACACTAGAGCCTGGTGCCTACACTTCTTGCTCCATGACCCAGGCCCTGACTGAAAATCAGGATAACACATGGCTAGTGTATAACATAACTAATATGTGCATAATAAATACGATTTTTTTNGGTTATCTCTCTGAAAAATACAAATATACGTTCATAAACAAAACAAAATTGTCTAGTGAGCGTAGCGGTTATATATTTTAATTTATCGACTGTAGTTTGAAAATCCTGTGCCAGCTATTTCATTTGTCATTTTGTCCTTTAATGCTGAATACGAGTTGTAGTTGTTTATTCATACCTTGAAGGCAGACACTCCCTTAGGCTCGAGGTCTTCTAACAGCAATGCTTCTTTCTTGCTAACCCTTCCCGCTGCCGGCCTTGACTTGGTTGGTTCATCATCCTCTTCATCTACTAGTGTGTCATCCAAATCTACATCTCTGTTCATGTCTTGCAGYTTTGCTTCTAAAGACTCTTGCTTTTTCTGTGGTATGAAGAGATAGGAGTTTATAATAGTAATCTAAAATTAAATATTTCTGAAGAATTGATTGGTTAAAATTAAAAGAGTTTTGAAAATAAAAAGCAAAATATAAAGATGAAGATTTGAAATGCTTACGCACAGATATAGGGGGGGAAACAAATTAAAAAGGTAATTAAAAAAAAAACAAATGAAAAAAAATAAAGGTTAGGTTAAAGTTACAATTTATCATACCTTTAAATCGTTAAAATCCTGTTCCTGTCGCTTGTAATTTTGCTGCATCTTTTGGTATCTCGACTTCATATCATCTATATTGCTGTGTAGCTTATCTTTGCTCTCATTGAGTTGTTTAATTTCTTCATGAAGTTTGGATTTTTGCCTAAAATTATAAGACGTTTTAAATATCTTTGAAGAAGCAAACTGTTTTTCATTTATTCCAGGAGACATAATCAAATAAAATAGACGAATATGGGAAATTCAGTACTTTTCAAGTCTTTGAATTTCTTGTTTGCTTTGTTTTCCACGGTCTTCAAGTTGCTTTAGCTCAGACGTCATGTTTTCATGTTTAGCAGCAGCAAGTCTTACTTCGTCAGCCAGGGACTCCTAACARAAACAAAATAAAATTGTAATTAAATTCGCTTAGCGAAACAAACAAAAATTCCGTCTTGCTGTTTTATCTCTCTTTTTATTTTWAGCAAGTACGAATCATAGAAATACCTTATTGAAAATAAAACATGAAATGCTAAAAAAWTGTTGAAAAATGCACTGGAATGTAGTAGCAAAATAAACCAATTACTATATTAAAATGAATTTCCGCTGATGGGTTTTTCAGATACTTACGTTATTTTGCATAAGCAAGCTTTCACGCTCGGCAGCAAGTTCTTCTTTTCGACGTTCAATTTCAATTTCCTGCAACATTAAACGATATTCATGTAGGCATGYACCGCTCGAGTCCAACAATCTACACAACCACACMAAATACTCGGTTTATCGACGCACTTACCTGTTGTTTCAACTCTTGTTCGTTTTTCTCTAACTCTTTGCGTAGTTTTTCTTGTTCTTGTCTCTGCATTTCTAGTTCTCCTTTTTCATTAGTCAGGTTGGATGACTATAAATAAAAAATATACCAGTATTGGGATTAAAAAAAGGCTTGCAGTAACTGTCAACACACTTTTGTTCTAACTTACCAAGCTTTCCCAATCKTCCTGWAGCAATTTTCTCTTCCCTTCGCAATCTCTTCTAAGTTCAGACATGATTTTTTCATGTTCTTGGACTAACGCTTCTTTCTCACTGTCCCACTTTTCTTCCAATTCATACTTTTCTTTGTTTTCCTGGAATGTGTTGGAAGTATAAAACGTTACTAAATKAAAATTAATTTCACGAGAAAAAAATATATTTTTGCGATGCAATTTTAGTSCGAACGAAAACCTGTTCAATGAAATACTTGCCTGTTCTTTCCATTCTTGTTTCAAGCGAAATATCTTCTTTTCGCACTCGGCTCTGACAGACTCCTAAAAAGGAATTTTAGTTTGAGACAGAAGCTCGAGGTATAGCACAAACAAGGTGAAAGTTGAGCAATCATAAAACAGTCACTATTATTATCAGTAACCATCCTACTTACAAGTTGTTGTTCATATTTCGCCTCAAGATCACTTTTCTTGCTCATAAATTCGTCTTCCATCTTTGAGAAAACCAACAATGAAAATCAGATTTTTATGCTTGTTGTTGAGGATTTCAGCAGGGAAGTAAAGATAATGTAGACAAAACAAGAAATGAGAGGWAACAAAGAAGGAAAAAACAAATACAAAAATATCTAAACTTGTCACCTCAGCATCAAGAGAGTCTAACTGCTCATCATAAGATGCTCTTGCACGAGTTAAAGCTTTCTTGTTTTCATTCAGTTCGTCGCTTTGAACTTGGTCAAGCTCACTGAGTACATCCTCCATTGCCTAAGAGAAAGAAGTCATTCTATGGAWTCAATTTTATTTCTTKTAAACATTTTTTATTCGTTTAATTTTACTGTCCTCCCATTTAAGAGTTGTCATTAAAACTCTTTTGTTTTATTTATTTAATTCCCATTCACTTTATTCAATCAATAGCTGAATATTTTTTCATACTGATGGTGATAAATAATTTGGACAACTATAAAACACATTCAAGCCTTTTCATACCTTTTCATGTTTCTCAATCAATTCATTCTTTTTTTGCTGCARTTTATATGCGTTTTCTTGCTGTAACTTCTCGATTGTCTACCAAAATACAAAAAATGTTGATGAAATATACTCTGATTATAATCTGCTTCATCAGACATATATATTACAATATACATGTCAGATATCTATTCTATGTTTATTCTTTACCAATTCTTTGTCTGTTTCAAGTTTCTCTTTTAATTCATCTAAAGAAGCCTGTTGTTYGTCATTTATCAGCTTTTTCTTGTCCTCAAACTCCTTTGCAAGTTTCTCGCGCAAATTTTTTAAGCTTCTTTCTTGGTCTGAGTGGAGGTTGGATTCAATCTGTTCTTGCTCTTCTTCCAGCTCCTCCTTGATGCGATCAATAGCCTCCTCTTTTTCTTTCCTGAGTTTTGTTTCTTCCTCTTCTTGTTCTCTTTGAATTTCAAGCTTCTTTTTTCTTAGAGCATCTTGTTTTCCTTCTTGTAACATTGCCTCTTCATCAAGTGCATCTTCTTTGGCTTTTGCTCTCAAGGTCTTCATGACTGCTTCATGTTCATCTTTAAGTTTATCTTCTTCTTTTTCTTCGTCTTGCTTCATTTTCTCCTTGAGCTTGTTTAGGGATTGCTGCTTTTCCTTTTCAAGTTTTTGCTTTGCTTCTTCAAGTTCTTTTTCCATGGCCTCTCTCAAGTCCTTTAGCGTTTTTGCTGCTTCACTTGCAAGTCTAAACACAAACAAAATCACCTTTTAACATGGCCATAACAAGTAAATGATTCCAAAGCACAAAATTAAATAAAATGCTTACTGTTCACGTTCTTGTTCCACAGTGCTTTCTCCTTTCAAAGATGCAGCTCTCCTAGTAACAAAACATCACAGGTTTTAGATTGAGACTAGGTTTTTCATTATCACAAACTCCCCTTTTCTGCCTTGGCCTTACAAAGTGGTCAATCCAAAGATGATTGATTTGTGGTGAATTAATTTAGATTGACTGACTTTCTACATCATTGAATGATAATTTACTGTGATTTGATTTAATTGGATTTATTGAATTATCAATTGCCTACTTTATTTAACAATCACTCTACCTTTCTGCAGCCTCTGCTTGAATTCTTGCTCTCATTTCTCTGTCATCCTCACTGGTTGAAAAAAATTAAATGTCAGTTGAACACTGCTTACTTGACAGATGCCATCTAAAAGGGCCACATATAGTCAGGTCGCATACAAAAAGTTGCATTGTCTAAATCTCTAGTTATACAGAAATAATTTCTTGGAAAAAAAAATGATTTTTACCTTGTCTTGGCATTACTAGCATTCAGGTCATTAGTGAAAGACATTTTCTAAAAGAATAACAAAAATAATCAATTTGTTAAAAATAAAGAAATTAAAGTAAAATTTACAATATAATATTGCAGTCATAAATAAAATATGCTCCGTGCGCGAGCGATTCATCATTTCATCAATCTGTCCTAGGATCAACAACGGCTCTCAACCAATCACCGCGCGAGAATTCTACAAGTTATGGTAAAAAAATAATTATAATAATAAATAATATTGTAGTTGTTCACCAAATAGTATGTGAGAACAAATCAAAAGGATTGAAGTGGGTAATACTTTAGCCTCATACTCTGTTAGAAACTGCTTTCTGTCACTCACCTGCAAGTTTAAGGTATCAGCGCTCATTCCTTCAAGTTTATCAGACAGTGTTGGATTAATACCAAAATCCTGTCAAGGTTAAATTGAATCATTTTAGACATGAGAAAGCATAACCACCAGACAGCAAAAAAGCATACCACTTCTTCTCCATCATCCATGTCACTCAATGATGGTGTATTGGGCTGCCTGATGTTTGAGCTCTCTTCAATGTCTGATTCCTGTCAATGTAATAAAACTATTGATCACAATACTGTATAATATAGACTGCATATTATTACACACACAAAAACATAATTTTGTTGATGCAACAAGAGGGACAAGGCAAGAAGGAAAAATAAGGAGAGAGTCTAGGACCATGTATTTATACCTCATATCCTAAGGCAGCAATGTCATGTGCATTAAAGTCAAATGTTCCTTTCTTGTAAGGGCTCAGCTGATGAAGAAAGATGAACCTTTCAAACTCATGCTTTCAGATATTTTTAGATTTGTAGCTTAAAATATATAGTCATATAACCAATAGCTCGATCAACTTGGCACAAAACAAAAATTCTCTGTTGTGAGTTGAAGAAAGTTATTGCGCGCRATGAAAAATGAGAAAYGTCGAACCTAAACTTGAACAGAAACAATGCTGTGYGCCAAGTTGATGGTTTTTGTATCTCGTATTTTGCCGCCTTYACAAAGCATATATTCATTATACTATATGCTGTAAACAAACTTTCTTATTCATTTGATGAATCACCCAATCCACCCCTACCCCTCCCTACTGTATACAGCTGCACGTTAATCACCTCGAGTTCATCTTCACTTTCAGAATCAGCCATCAGGTTTATGTTGATGCTGTCACCAAGAGATGTATTTAAATTGATCACAACAGGATCATTCTCAGTAGAAGATTCCAAGGGATCTTGCTTTGATGGCCTTTTTACTCCCTAGAAAACAATTAATGATTTCACATAATTCTCGTAATGACGACATCAGATCTGTTATCCTCAAATAATTTAATCCCCATTTATACTTCAAATAATTCTGTCACTGTACATAATACACACGTCATTCACCTCATCTCCATTTTTAATATTCCCAAGTACTTTCTGCTGAAATGGATTTGAYGTCAGACTGTTGCCAAATCGGGATCCACCAGTTCCTCCAAGGGAACCTTTAGGACCACCAAGGGAACCTCCCAAAGAATCAACACCAAATGACGACCCTCCAAAGGAACTGTTCACAGAGTTACCAAGTGGTCCAGGTGAATTGCTTTTCAAAGGAGCCAATGAACCAAGAGGAGCCTCGCCCTTTAAAGGTGATAGRCCAAGACCTCCCTGGAATCAATGGTTTGTGTTAATTTAAACATTGTTCAATGTGTTGTTCATATACATCATACAAACATTGTTGCACACAAACCTTTTGTTTTGAAGGAGGATCTAATGTCTTGGTAGGTTTTTTATTTTCTTTTTTATTTTCCTTTTTATCTTTTTTCTTGTCTTTTTTCGCTCCACCACCCATCTTCTTCTGTTTTGCTCTCTCTTCAATGACCATATTCCGATAGTATTCATCGCAGGGATGATCCCACACACTTTGGCCAGTGCCAAAATTGAAATAGTAGATGTCACCTTGAGAATCTTGGCTAAAAATCCACATTTATTTTAATTAGCTTGTGGAAAACTATTACTACAGATGCTGAACATAGACATATTCTCTATATTAGGCAAGACAAGCACAGTGAAATATTGAGTAKGATAGAATCAAGCCTCGAACTACTAATTCCCAACAGTCAGAACGGAGAGACGCTCAGAATTTCCACTTCACATTGAGCATTAATGACGGCATTTTGCAGCTGATAATTTAAATTCTATGACGTCTTTTTAGCTTTTTATTTTCTTTTCATTTACAATGTATCACGAAACAACTTAAAGATCAAAATGGAGACATGCATATACAAAATAAAAGTACTTCGTATAGCTCAGGCTTGTAATGGTTGGTCTATCACGGACAAAAGTATTATCCAAAATAATAACATCAAMAATTGTTTGACGTACTCGATAAAAACACATAGTAAATATTACACATAAACATGGTTTACGAAAGTTTTAATTATATAGAGGTTCGATGTTCTTCATCTTCCTGGACGTTGTAAGAGTTACTGCTTCGGAGAAACTACGAATATGCAATGGAATTATTTATAAACTATAAACTATTACCATGGTTTCCAATCTGGAGGCAGTGGAGCAACGATTCCTTCCCTTGCTATCCATAATAGGTTTTTCTCGATCTGTGGGTCGATTCCTATTAATTGTGCATACTCAAAAACCTCTGTRGATATAGAAGAATATATGTAGTACCATTAGTATTGGTAGTAATATGTGCAAAAGTTCGTATGTAAAAGTTGTTTAGGAAGAAGTATTTTTGGTCTTGTGTAGAATACGATCGCGTCTGAGCCGTCTACGTACAAAACTTAAAACGAATGAAGAATTCAAAATAAACCGCATCTCATTGTATATATTCCTGTTTTTCTGGTAATCAGAGTCAAAAGTTCCGCAGTAAATTACAATGTAATAAAGAGGCGACAAAATACAGACGAAATATGCCGAACATTTCAAACAAAAGCATAAGAAAAGGAAGTACCAAAGTTATGAGTTTGCCCTCCGATTGCTATAAAATACGTACAGCACTGAACACTTTTCCAATTCTTTTACAGTTACATGATTTTAAAGCGGTTAGAGCACGTGGACTAGCTTTTGACCAAATGTAATCGATTTTCAAAATACAAAAAGATCGAAGATTAGGAGCTATAAAAGATATGGCGACAAAAATGAACTGCTGTAACAAAACGATATAACGGACTGAAACCATTTTAGCGCTTTGAGATTTTTTACGCTGACACAGGAGGAAAGTTTTCCTCTCAAGTGATAAGCAAAATAAACCTATCATGAAGACCGTAAAATATCAATCTCCATTCAAGCATAACTTCAACATGTGCGCTTACCATTTTCCGTTGGTTCATACGTCTCATCGTATTCCTCTTCCAAAATTATTTGCCCGTTGATCACATTATTTGCCATCATCTTKCGGGAATATTACTATGCTTTTCTTAAGCCTCCTTTTAGAGCCTCATTGGTTCTATTAGATGCATGAMAAAAACTTTCTTGGAAGTTGTTCGWCCGATAACAAAGGTGTCCTACTGKACCGTTTCTCTTGTTGTCAACTGAAACGAACTTTTGACCGCAAAGAATTCGTGACAAATCTTCGGCTGCATATCGGATACAAGTCGAAGAGCATTCGGTTTATGATCGGAAAAACCGATCGTTACCCGAGAGATATCTTCTAATGGCACCAATGTTGAAAGTAMGTTTCCTCCAAAATATAASTATATCTGGAAGTATTTTGCTAAAATGCGATTGCATGACACACAGAAATAAGTAAAATATCATATTGTGGTCTTTTATGACTACTTTCAAAGCTTGGAAAAGATTTATCAGTTCTGCAGAACTCTGGCGATTTTTTATCTGTAGTTATTTGGCAGTATTTACTCGAAAATGTTAAATTTCAGCTTGAGGGACTCATTGCAGCGACAGTGACTCCATTCCTTGAAGATGGGTTAGTTGAATAAATTGTTTTCAGTGATTTGTCACGTTTGCACAAGCTGTTTTGCCGAGTTTTTTACGTTGAACTTCACATTGCAGAGAATTAAACTTGTCTGTTATTGAAAAGTATGTCGACTTTTTGGTAAATCAARATGTGCTTGGAGTTTTTGGTAAGAGAAATAATTGTGTTATTTTTTTAAATCTCAGTTTATTTCATTTTTCAATTTTCTATTTCATTACATTTTTTATGGAATTCAATTTTGTAGTTGCTGGTTGTACAGGAGAAGGTCTCACCATGACAGTCAAGGAAAGAAAACTTTTAGCAGAAAAATGGATGGAAGTAGGGAGAAGCAAGTAAGAAAAACAAACAGATGAATGCGTTTATTTCCTCTTATGGCTGTTGGGCTTCCTGTGTCGAAGGGTGTTCTACGTTTTTATGCGCCTAGAGTTGTTCTTTTTTTTAGGTTACTTTTGACGTTTACTTTGCACTCCTTGYCCGATACCCATCACTCGGTCTAGCCTAAACTTCCTGTTCTTCAGATTAAAGTATATCATTATTCAAGTGGGAACCGCTAAYCTTAAAGACACAAAAGAGCTGGTAAGGTCCGAAGTCCGATAGTTATGTAAAGACCTCTGACAGTTATAACATAACGTTATATTTTTTTGTCTCTTTGTTTATCCGGTTTCTATCTATAAATATATTCAATATTTTGCACTACTCCTTCCTTATTTTGCGTTTTATCAATCATGAAGATTGAAGAAAATGGACTTTGCGAATATTTGGTAGCGTGAAAATCCTGAAAGCGTCAAACTGTCTCACACCTGGTCAATGGTCTTTTTCTTTGATTGACGTTAGCAATTATTAGCYTCTAAAAGTCGTGACAGGTTATGTTTATTACAACTCAAGTCATCAACTTTCAATGAGTTTTTTAATGAAAATATATTATGGAAGACAGCTTTCGCTCCCTGAAAACACTGAATCCAAGAGCTAATTTTTGGCCAGTTGTGAATGCTTGTCGTTGTTGTTGTTGTTATTTTTTGTTTGTTTGTTGGTGTTGGTGCCTTGTTTTATTTTGTTTTTGTCGTAAGTGAAAAAATCATTAGTAAGCAGATGGTCAATATGCCATATTATTGTTAGTAACTGTTATACACCTCATGACAATAATTACAGTCTTGATTTTTTATGTGAACTTCACATAAAAAATCGAGACTGTAAATATTGTCATGAGGTTTATAACATACTTCAGAAGTATATGTAATTGAATCGTGAAATATTCCTTGATGTCAATGTTGCGATTTCGTTTAATATGAAGGTTCAAATATTCCATATGCTAATGGTGATTATGACGTCGTCACGAGAAAGGTTTTTTCACAAGCTCTTGCATTAAATATGCATGAAAATATTCGTATATTTCCATTGAGATAAAGTTTGTGAAGCAWTTCATTAGCAGTTTGAGACTGAACCTTCATCAGAAGTAACTGAAGTGAAATGCAACATTTAATTGAAAATTAAAGAAATATTTCAACATTCAATCGTTAACTTCATATAGATTCAACTCTGTAATTAAATTGTTGCTGGAGGTAAATATAAGCACTTTAATAACCACTTCTTGTTTAATGACTCGCCCATATTGACGGTATATGATTACGCATATTAGAGTTTTTGCACTAATGCGTCAAGTTTTTACGATCTGTGTCCGCTACTTCAACGATACAAAAATATTGTTATCAACCTATATGCACAAGGATGGACSATTTTTCAACAGTTAACCGCTCTAACAAWTGGGGAATTGGTAGTTTTCACTGTCGTCACGATGAGTTTGCTGAAAATGATCAAGAGAAATTTACCAAGCGCGCTGTCTTCGCACTGCTCAGTGTACTGGGGATTTYGGGCAACATCTTTGTCATAATACTCGCCATTGCATTCACTTCACGTACGAAACTCCATCATTTGATCATCAACATGGCATTTTCCGATGCTCTTTTTCTTCTCGTGAGGTTTTTGGACGCAATTTCATGGCTGTTTGACGACAAAATGACTGTATTTCCCASTGGACTWTTAGGTGTTGTAAGCTGCAAAACYACAACCTTTCTTTTGGAAGTCTCATGCTTAGTATCTTTTATTACCCTATTCGTGATCACCATTGAACGATTCAGAGCAACCAGACACACACTGCAAAGATCACAACCATATTCAATGAGAAAACGTCTAGGAGTATTCGGTATCTGCTGGCTGATTCCCATGGSTGCGGCTGCAAACGACACATACCAAGCAAAAGTTCATCAGGGACTGTGCATTGTAAAGAGAAAACAAGTCTTTCGTTCTGTGGCAATAGCCGCGAATTGTTTAACTGCGATTGCGTGCTTTGTGATTTTCTTTGTTAGTATTCAAACAATAAAACGACTTTCCAGACCTCAAGCCATTCATTCTCATCTTAGTGAGGAACAACGCAACAGACGAGCAAAGCGTACACGAGCAGCCATAAGAATGGTCCTYGTCTCTGTACTCCTGTACTTATTTTGCTGGTTCCCTGTGTTTRTCRTTCATGGTCTGCTGTCGGGCAATAGCGAGCTGTCAATRGGTATACCATATTGTCTCGARTGGAATCACTATTTCTTTATCATGGTCACTTTTTTCCCTGTTATCAACTCTTGTCTAAGTCCTTTGATCTACATCAGATTACTTCCTGATTTTCGTAAAGCAACGAACAARMTACTTCATTGTMGAAGAGAGGTGCTGAACCGCCATGGATCAAACAGAATACACTCTATCGAACTTCAACAAGCAACGTCGCGAAGTCCCGCAACAGGACCTCAGTAATACTATAGCTAGTACTATGGCAATACTGCGTGGAAGAGGAAATTCGACTTGCGCAAAAGGACAAGTGAACAAATCCAGGCAACARTGATTTTGAGTTTTAGTAAAAAATTGGAAATTGAGAGCATCAGTGGTCATGAAGAAGTGGTCAGGAAGATGTGGAATAATATTGCAAATGATTCTTGAGTACGACAGCGTATCAAGGAAACAAATTCTCAGTTTAGTTACATTTGATTGTAACATCGTTCGACAAAATGCTTTTTAAATTTCCCTCTAGCAAACGTGATTAGTAATGATATCTAATAAATTTTTGTGATTTGATTTAAGTGCATCAGTGCCTACAACGGCATTCATGAAATAAAGAGACATTTGATTAGTTTCCTTTCGTTTTCTCGTTTTCCCATTTTCTTCTTTTATCTGTTATCATTTCTCTTAACCTTCATCCTTACAGCCACAAGCATCACGTAAAAAAAGTCTTACAGTAAATATAGATGTGTTTTTCGTAGGCTAAACATGCAGAAAGTATAGGTTGCGATGCCATAGCTACTGTACCAACACTCTTCCCAAAGCCTTCAAACGTAGGTATGCAGGCCTTCTTCCTTTGGTTAAAATTCATTGTTTTAAAAGTTTGTAGTCTCAATCCTACGAAACCGTACCCTTTGCTTTTAATTTAAAAAAGTGCATGAATAATGCATGCTTGATTTCGCTTGATATTCTAAATGTCTTTTTTTCTATTTGTCAAAGAGTGTCTAACAAGATATGTTAAAGAGGTCTCTCTTGCTGCTCCGTGCACTCCAATCATGTATTATCACATACCAACCCTCNTTTATTTAGGTTTTAGTTGATTTTATTTATTTATGTTTACTTATTTCTTTGCAGTTAGGATTGAAGATTTCCTGGGTCAAGCACATAGAGAAATTCCTAATTTTCTTGGAGTAAAATTCTCCAGTCCTGATACTTTTGACTTAAGGAGATCCATGGTAGCGGAAGGAGGGAAATTTCAAATGATAGATGGAAGAGATGAAGTAAGGGCACTATTTCCTTATTGTTCTCTGCCTTCGTTTCTTCCTGTTTCCTTTCTTCCTGTTCGAACGAAAGATCGATCATAATGTATATCGTAATTAAATCGTAGCTTCTTTCACTTTCTCCAAAAAAATATTTGCTGCTTGTTTCCCTCAATCTTGACCTCTTCTCTTCCCTCTTTGTTTTTTGTTTGTTTGTTTGTTTGTTTTTTCTACTTGCGTCCTTTTAACTATTGCCATCTGTACATCACAGTTACGATTGACAGGTCTTTCTTTGGGAGTCAAGAGCGCAATTGGATCGTAAGTAATAGTCATTGCAATATTTTCTTCAGTGTCAAAACCTTATTTTTCAGTTCGCCTATTAGTTGATGAATTTATTGATCATTGTCCCAGGTTTTACTTTTCTAGTAACAACATTTATAATCGTTGTATTCTGTTCTGAATCATCTACAGGACTTACAATTACATGGGAAAAGTGTACAATAGAATGACTGAGTATTTTAACAAAGGAGACATGAAGAAGGCACTTCTAGAACAGGTAAGTACAATGTAGCTAGTGATAATATCGTATAGAATTACTCTTAACATTTTAAAAATCTTAAAAGTCGTAAAAGTTTAGAATTGTCATTTTGTAGCGCAGCAATAGCTGTATTTAACACATAGTTAATTAGTCTGGGCATGAAAGGAAATCTGGTAATGATGACAGAATGTTTGACGATTTCGGGATATTTGTGCTACGCTATCACAACATATTGCTTCAATTGAGAAACATATCAATGGCAGCTAATAGTCCACCACTACTAAAGTTCTATTGTGAGTTATCTTCTAAAATCTAAACATCTGTAAGCGAAAAGTAGAACAAACGAGGAAAAAATACCGAAGTCATGCTGAATCATTCTCGTACCCAGACCGCGGCATTTTCATCTTCCAACAGGATGCAGCCAGCTGAATGATCAGGCTGAATTCGACCGTCATGGTTATTACTTTGACCGAGGAGATCTGAGTATGAGAACGTATGTGCTGCTGTATTTTGAATAAATTAATTATCAGTTCTCAGAAAAAACATCAGGTGATTGCAGTGTGTCTATCAACTAAGGCCTGGTGTTCTTTCTTGAACCACCATCTACCTAGGCTGGATAACTGGTTTAATTACTCGATTTAGAATATGGCTGAAAGTAGATCTCAACAGAAGCAAAATGACGGGCCCTCTTACTATGCACAGGCAGTATCAAACTCGTTGCGAACTCCTCCATTAGGCTTCGTCGTGCACAGTCACKACATCCGACATACCTACCTCTTGAAAGAAGACATCGCCAAATATAGCTCACTTCATGACTCTTTGGAACGTGTGTTTTCCAAACCCTTGTTTAGCTGTGGAGGGAGTTTAAAGCCAAATGACATCGATAAATTCGTTTTACAAGTGAAACCTTTAACTTCCGAGGAAGACCAAAACAACTGGAAAGAGTTTGACCTCGCAAAGGGCATTGACGTGGAAMAGCTGCTCAAGTATTGCACTCCGGCAACATTTGGAGACTTGAAGGAAATGAAAACGCTAATTGACTCTGATGTTCGTCTAGCCAACGCAATTGAATCAGAACGRTTCAAAATTGGAATACGWTTTGCTAGTAGGTCCGAATCCCATTCAGGGATGTATCTCTGCGTTCCTGGAAGAAAGTCTATCGAAAAGCACATTGAAAATGTACTGGCACCAGGACGGTATGTAAAATTGGATCARTACAAGCTGAACATCTARAGCAAAGGAGGGTTTTTCAAACCTCATGTTGATAGRCCATCGGGAGAAAACATGATTGGAACTCTGGTTGTTTGCCTGCCATCACCCCATAAAGGCGGAGAACTGTGTGTGAATCATGATGGACTTCAACARATSTTTGACTTCTCGTCGRATTCCGAAGATGTAAGRAGAATTCAGTGGGCAGCATTTTACAGTAATTGRATTCATGAAGTAAAGCCAGTCCTTGAAGGAAACAGGATCACTATAACCTATAATATTACCTTGGATASACTRAAACAGCGTTCCTTSAKTTACCAAGCGAGTGATTGGGACAATCTATCTCAAGATGAGAATTTCGAAGCCAGTGRAGCATGCCCCTCCCTGGCCACTGATGCTCTTAACAACGTTCACAACGAGCTGGAAAAGATRAGAAAACAGAAGGRAACTACCGGCTCGCCGTCCAAGATTGGATTTTTTCTAAAGCACAAGTACATTCCAAGTGGTCTTCAGCAAAGTATGCTTAAAGGTGAAGATAAAGCACTGTTTGAATTCTTAGTCGGCAAACAGTGGAAATGTGAGCTCAAGAGSMTCCTTTCAAGATARCAAACTGATTSTYTTTACCCCTACG